CTGGACATTTTCTCGGCTCATGCATAGAGCTGCAGTATTGACACTTGCGTCTTCCGGGAGAATTTCTGTCCCTTCGAGTCACTGGCTCCACAAGCGTATCTGGAGTTTCCCAGGTCTTGTTTTGGCGCTCTGAAATTTCCGCAGATTTGCAGAAGTCGACGGCTTTCTCAAGTGTTAAGTCTTTTTCCCTCAGCAGCTTCTCTCTGAGTTTTTTGTTCTGTATGCCGTACACAATTTGATCTCGAAGCATTGACTCAACTAACACTCCGAAGTTGCAGGACTTCGACTTTAGTTGCAAGTCTCGAAAAAACAGTTCGAAACTCTCACCTTCCGTCTGCTGTCGTGTTCGAAAGACATAGCGCTCGAAGGTTTCGTGCTTTTTGGAAGGCAGTAGTCCTCGAATCTATTCACGATCAGTTCATAGTCATCTTTCTCAGATTCTGCCAAATTGAACGTGTTATAGACGTCAATGGCCTCCTGGCCAGCCACATGGAGAAATATAGCTGCCTTCTGCTGCTTCGATCTCGCCTCCTTCGTCTCTGTTGCTCGGAAGTAGAGTTCGATGCGCTGTTTGAAGCGCTTCCAATTCTCCGCTGTGTCCTCCGATAGCCTTAATCCTGCCGGCGGCGGTAGTTCGACCATGGCTGCGGTTCGTTTCACTGAAGAGGAACTACTCAACCACTTCTGACACCATGTATCGTTGTTAATAGGCACGAATCAAGAGGACACTTTGCTTCAGAACGCTTACGTGCCGGCGGCTGCTTTTCCGTCACCTTTATTTCGTCGTCTTCTCCTAGCTCGCCCACGCTCAGCTAGCTTTATAACCGATACAGAGAGCTCTACGCTGATTTTGAAGTAGCCATAACTATTTTAAGAACGCGAACCACTTCAAAACGGCAGCCACGAGCGACAATTCGATGTTCGGTAGAGCCCGCCAATACAGCCCAAAGATGGAGAACGGCAACCTCCCGGTTCGTCGTCTGCTAGCGGAGTCAGGGGCGTGCCCTCTCTCTCGTTTTACCCCGCCGAACCAATGCCGAACCCGCTAAACTTTCCGGATATGTGGAAAGGGTGCTGCTGTCGAACAAAATGGTGCCGCCCAGAGAGCGCTAAATGGAATGGTCTATTAATGCCAGCACGTTGACGGGGTGGTGTAATTTTAATTCTTGTTATCAGATCAAGTCAAGGCTCAAAGTAGTCACAGAAACAAATCAAATGCAAAGATATCGCTGGCAAAACTAAGTTCACAAAAAGCGTAAAGCATAAGGCTCCCCCCCCCCCCCTCCCTCGTCTTATGTTGGCCCTCGACCTTTCCGGAGTAGGATATCTATCTGGCCCCACACTCAAATGAGTTTGAGACCACTGATCTAGAGATAGAGAGTATTACCAGAAAGTTCAATTTGTTTAGAGTGCATAGCTATTTTTTTTTTATAAATTATTTTCAGTTCACAAATGCTGAAGAAAAGGTAAAGGTTCGAGCACTTTGAATGCATTTTTCACCAATCCACTTTTTGGCATAAATGCAACCTTAATAAAACTAGTGTTATACCCCTGTCATACGGGCTAGTTTAGTGTCACTACAAGCGAGTGCACTTCAACCCGTCGAAACACACTCCAAGTGTGTTGGTGCTACACGGGAAAACTTAGTGTCACTCCAAAATGATGGCAATGACGATGGGTAAGTAAAGCGCATGCAAAATATTAGAGTGCATACGCATTTTTTTCATAAATAACTTCGTTGTCTCATTAGAAACACGTTACCACACATTATTGCGCTAAGTCACGAGCTTTAATCCAAATTTAAATCCAATTTGATAATTACGATCAGCCATTATAAGCCAGTGAGACACGTCCACACGCCGGCACGATGTTCATCCAGATTGAAACGAGCAGGGGTAGGGATTGAACCCAGGATTCCTGGGCCCTGCAGCGCGAGCTTTCGCTGCGCGTGCTCCGAGCTAGTGTGCGCGAGCCCACTCAGCCACTCGCCACTCACCTCAATGAAACATCATGGAGTGTGTGGAGGACGAGCCGGAGGGCGATATTCGCGATGTTGGACAGTGAAAGCGCTTGGTTGGGTCACTTTTCTCCGTGAGAGCCCAACGCCTTTCAGATGAGAGTCAGCTAGACCTGAATTCCGAGGCGCAGGCAAGAATTTCAAGTGACATCGATCAGCAGCTGCAGGCCAATGCCTTCACCATACCCGCTCTCTTGACCGACAACCTACCCGCGTGATTAGTCGAGAACGGTGGACTTTCCAGAGGAACGAACGGTGGTTCGAAGACACCTTTCCCCATTTGGGCGAGTTCCATTTCAAGCAAGCCTTTCGCGTCTCTCCTGCCACCTTCAGATTCCTGGTGGAGTCTTGCAGGTGCCTCCTGGCCGTCGCTGGCCGCCGCGCAGGGGCCAAGGCTGGAAACTAGTTTAGCCGCTTGTTTTTCTACAATGCACTACTTTCCTGCGAACAAAAAACAAGTCCGCATCTAATATTACTCCTATAAAAATAATACTAATTCTATGCATCGTTAATTTCTTCTATTATTTTTACTCCTTGAAAACTGCTATCGATATTACACACTTGGTCTACCGGAGTGAGCGTAGTGTGCTCCCCGAACTCACTTCATTGGAAGTGTGTTCTTCGAGCAGGGCTGGGGATTGAGCTCAGGATCACTGGGATCTTCAGCGCGAGCTCTCTCTCCACGTACTCCGATCTGGTGGGCGCTAGCCCACTCGGCCATTGATACCCCTTAATAAAGACACGTTGAAAAAAATTTGCCGTTTACAATTCTCTTTAATGCCGAATTGGAGCGCAGCTCTTGAGGAGGAGGGAGGAAGGGTACGAAGGGGAGGGTATGCAGCTGCTCCCCCTCCGTACCCTCCCATCCTCCTCTCCTGTTCCCATCCTACTTAGCGTAAAACTTTCGCTAAATTTCCCGCTAATTAAGCTGGGAAATTTTCCCGCTGAATTGACGTGTGACGCCACATGACACGTCACCTGAAATGTTAAGTGCGACGTCACGTGACGCCACACGGGTAAAATTTTCCTTCTAAATATAGCAGAAAAATTTTCCACCAAACTTAGCAAAAACTTTCACCGCGAAATTTAGCGGGAAAATTTTTACCTTCGTGACGTCACACGTGACGTCACGTGTGACGTCATTTTGGGAAACAGCCCCTAATGCAACGTGCGGTTACGCCGACGCCGCTCAACTCAGAAACGGGTTCCTCGGAGCTGTTCTCTAAAACAGCGTTACATTAATGAACGATCTTTACATTAATGAACGATCGACCATCGCAAGCCAAGATAAAGAACGAAGCATATTCAACTTTAGCGTTTTGCTTCGTTCCATGGAAATCTACGAGGAGGCCCTGAAACTGCCTAATTAGATCATAATTATCTTGTTGTCTCGAGTAGTTACATGCTGAAACAAAAGGACGCTCCACCATTTTCTGCTAACCAAGATAACCGTTGAATGACTGACTTTGTCGTCGTCTTTTATCAATTCACGCTGCGCTAATCTTGGTACAGATCAGCATAAACTCCGAGTCCACCCCACTATTTTTTGCAATGTCACTCCTCTATTTCACAAATTTCTTTTTCTTTATAAAATGAAACTTACGCCACCCTTCTGGTTCCTGTGTTGTTATGTTTTACTGTTGAAACACTCCTATTGATGCCACGCACTCGATCGAGCGAAGTGAGTTCGTCAAACTCACTCGATGCCAACTGTGTTCCCCAGAAAGGAGCCGCGTGGCACACTACAGAAATGACACTAAGGGCGAAGTGCACTCGCTTGTAGTGACACTAAACTAGCCCGTCTGACAGGGGTATTACACTATGAAACTATCGAGACTTAATATTTGCGGCTTACATGCCAAAATTTTATGAAGCCACCCACTTTGAGCTTAGATTTAGCATTTTCATGTTTCTTTATTATGAAAAATTGTAATTTGCAAAACTTGATAAACGTAAGAAAAAAAACATTTATCTGGAAAATGCATAGTTCTTCAATTTCTTTTTATAGTAACCGGCAACAGGCATTCCAGTATGCATTCCACCAGAAAACTATGTGGTGCTCAATGATAGATTCATTGAGCAGATTGCATGCAAAGCTATGCTTTACTTCATTCTGAGGGTACAGTACCTCATAAAATTGGTTCACGGCTGAAACTTCACATGTCCTTCTTCTATATGGCCAGAAACACCACTTGCAAATATCACGCCGATTGAGGAGCGGATCAAAAGTTGACATTCCCAGGTAGTGTCTCTTAAGCACACCCCCGCCCTTCCCACATGCTTCAAGTCCCTCTGAAATTGACTGATTTAGGGGCATTCAATGACGCTCAGCAAGTTTGTCATTTTAACCATGTTTGTCTTCAAGGAATAAAAAGTTAAGTACTAGATCTTAGAAAAAAATATATTACAAATTCTGCGTTTTCTTTTTTTTCTTTTTTTGCAATTTTGACATTTGTTGTGACTGCCAGTTTGTTTCCGAGGTGAGTTAAGTTTTTTCAAAGCCACCCTATTTGCAAATTTTTTTTAAGACTTTGCTGAAACACTTGGTGTATTGATACAGTTAGCCTTTTACTGAAGGGGTAAAGAGCTGAAGGGGTAAAATGAAGAAAAAAAATGTCAACACAATGCCCCCTCCCCCCCCCCCCCCCCCCCAAAAAAAAAAAAAGTTGCTACAATTGGCAATTTTGTACACAGGTGCCCACCTTTCTGGCAGCAAGAAACACCAGTCAACTTTGGACCCTGAAGAACCACATTTTTTGTACGCCAGCAATGCCTATCGAGCTCAACAGGCAAAAAAACTCAGGCATGGTAGGCTCCAGAAAATGTGACAGCAGCAAGCAAGGGAATGTTGAGGAGTGCCTTGCCATTAACACGGGGCATGCTCCCCACTCCGTCTTGTGGCTCCAAGACTTGCGATGACTGTGTCCACCAAGGACCCCCGTCGGTTTAGCTCGTGCTGGAGACAATTCCTCGATCAGGTCCAGTGTCACTCAAGAGGTGTTGCATTTGACAGATGCAAGGAAGACAGAACTGCAAAGCAAGAGTTAGAATCCTGTAAGTTTTAAAAGATGTCTTGAAGCGATTAGCTTTCTTAGGATCTTCGGGCCACTTTAAAGTATGTTTATGGACAATTATTTTCCCCACTACATTTAGTGGGAAAAATGACGTCGCATGACTCGATGTCGCTGGACCCATACACAAATTCAGTTTCCCAGCCAAATTTAGCGGGAAAATTGATGTTCCGCAAATTATACAAAAATTCAGTTTCCCGCTAGTTTTAGCAGGCAAACTGACGTTGCGTGACCTCAACATGAATCAAGTTTCCTTGCTAAATTTAGCAGGGAAAATGATGTCACATGACCTACACACATGTTCAGTTTCTCCATTAAAAGCCAATTCCGGTAAATTTTTTTTAAATCTGGGATTACAACTGTTTTGAGCTAAGGCAGTATGCCTAAATTACAAAGTATTTTTTTTTATATTGTGTGTAGTTTTAAAAATATCACGGCTAGAAGTTTGGTTTCGGGCATGTAGGCAAGACCGAAATTATCTGCTAGAGGGATGACAACACTAAGAGGAGATTAGAAGATTGCTGGAAAAGATCTAGAGAGGGGTGAAAATACAGATAAAAATAAACAAGGGTAACACTTTAAAAAGGGGGGGGGGGGGGGGGGGTGTTAAAACAAAATTTATACAAATTAACAAAAAAAAAAGAAAAAAAAATTACAAAATGTTAGGCTAGGTGGCGCAAGCTACCACCCGTTACAAAGGGTATAGCCATTACCATCCATTCATGCAGAAAGGAAAACGTGTTCGACAATTCACTGGGAAGTTCTTTACAGTTTGGGGCGAGAAAGAGAGTTTTGAGGACGAGGACGTATGGGGCTAGATTTCAGGTGACAAACACATACTATGTGCTGCCTGCCATGATGAGGGTAAGAAACCAGAGCAGTTGGTTTTGAAGTGCATGGGGCTTCGCCCTGATCTCCCTGAAAAGGCAACAGATTTGGCCGGGGCCCTAGGTTTTGCTGGTGATGATGGAAGGACGGAAGAGAAAAGGATCACAGTAAAAAAAAAATGATGGAAGGACGGAAGAGAAAAAGATCATAGTCACAAAGAGACGATTAGAAGATTGGTGGAAATTATCTAGGAAAAATTTAGTGATGCACAACTAAAGGCCCATTCACTCTTTAGCGACCTCTTAAAACCTGGGTTCCTTAGAACCTCTTACAACAAGAGGACACAGTGGCACCATCTATTGGGTAGCTGTGTAAACTTGGCGGTCCGGCATATTTCCTATTTCTCTCGCGCATTATCCTTTCTTTCTTGGCTCGAAAATCTTTGCCCAACGTTATAAACGAGCCTTTCTTATAGGTATTACGCACATTTGACCTCGGAAATCCCGCGAAACCTTCGCTCTTGTGAAATGCAGTTCCAGGGTCACCACATAGATGGCGCCAGAATGCCAGTGTGTTCCCTCGTCCTAAGAAATTTTAAGAAGTTTTAACAGATCTCGTCTCTCTCGGTCGTACTCGGTTGCAAGAGTGTGAATGGGTCTTAACTAGCACAGCTGGGGACAGGCGAGATAGAGGAAAATTGGGACTCCCTCCTGCGTGGCTCCGGCCCAGTCTTAACCCTCTGTCCCCAGTTTGTCCGGTGCTGAGGTGACCGGGGCAAGGTTTGACCAAAGGAAAAGTGGCGACTCCCTCACCCAGGGGAAGAGGCGGGGGGTGATGTTTTTAGTTTTTTTGCCCAATCGCCCAAAGGTCATCCTGGTGATATTTCGCACTGCCTGGTGATAGTTAGGGGGAGAAAATTGGCTTAGAAGAGCGGGAGGATACATACGTTTCTATTTTTAGACTCGGGCTAGGTAGTGCAAGCTACCGCCCGTTCATAGCCATTAACATTCATCCATCAATTCATCCGGCCGTGACGTGTAGAAGAGCGGGAGGATACATACGTTTGTATTTTTAGACTCGGGCTAGGTGGTGCAAGCTACCGCCCGTTACAAAGGACATAGCCATTAACATTCATCCATCAATCCATCCGGCCGCGACGTGACAACACAAGGGTGCTGCACCAATATTCCACGAATAAAAGCTAATCCGCTTACTGCCCGCTAAAGAGAAGCTGGTTGCCTCCTTAAAATCGGTTTTAGTGAAGAATGCGGCGTCACTTTGACGTAATATTTCGGCTGCGATCATATTTTGTGGCACTAAAGCGATACCGGTCATTTATTTTGATTTCGTTTTCGACCAGAGTTGCGCTTTAAGTTTAGAAGGGAAAGTTATTATTTCCACTAATTCTTTTGTCCCTTCTAATTAACCTGTATCTACTATGCACCTTTAGTACATACATGCACAATACAACTAAACCTCCCTTCATGCTCATAGCAGAATAATTTCGAGGACGATACAGAGGCCACATGCTCACAATGTGTTCCATCGTTCGAGTTTGCAGGTTAGTCTGACGAGGTAGTTGTGTCTGAAGAATCTGGATCATCCTCGGAGCTCATGGGTTGCTTATGTCCAAGACGCCAGGCTCTCTCGTGGCTCGTGTCCAAAGGATCGGCCTCAGGTACCACATGTTCAGGAATGGCATTCAAATCTAACCACAAACGGAATTGACATTTTGCCACTTGGAGGCAAGGAACACCCTTGCCGCGATTGTCCTTTGTCTTTTGTCAATGTTCCTCCAGCCGCTTGTGGATATCCTGAGGAAACTGTCCCAACCTCCAGGGAGCTCTGTCTTGTCACAGCCAAAACGCACTGGTCATCAGGAGACGCATCGTGGTGAAACAAACCTGCGACAGAAACATACTGCATTGGAACCTCTGTTGTGACCTTGTTTCATAAACGCAGCCAAAGTTTCGAGTCACTACATCGACGTACCTGGGGGTGTGACCGACGCCTGAATTCCAGTAGAGGTCTGATGAGGCTCTTCCGTTTGAACGCCTTTGCTGACATTCCAAAATGGCGTCTGTGCACCTGGCACGTTAAAAACATTATCGTAGCATAGTTATGAGACACACTGCAACAATACCAAAGAACTACCTTTTGTTAGAGTGCTCATGCATATGTGGTTTGGCGTGCTCTGTCTGCGTGGCTCCAGGTCTGGTTCAAACACATCGGACGAAGCACCCACTGATAAGATGTCACATGCCACGGCTGCGCTACTGCTCCATTCTTGCGCTGCGGTAGTAGACTGGTTCCTGCCCTGTAAAAGCAGCGTGCAAGGTGATAGTCTTGGCAAGCTCATAAGACATAACTAGCAGTGATGACTACCAGAGAAAATAACTGGTTAAAGCATTCTGCACTAACCCACATCTGGAGGACGCTTACAGGTCCATCCAGCAATGACCCGTGTGCTCCTGTGTCTTTTCCAGTGCCATCAAGCGTTGCAGCCATTGGAAAAGCATACGGTGTCGAGGCTGTGCTGGTGCTACACTCCAGAAATGATACAGCCGTAGCTTGGTCTCTGATCTGTAAAGCAATCATTTAAGATTCACTATTTTTTGTTCACCACACTAAACTTCTACATAAGCAAACCTTTTGTGTTGTTACTACAAATGCTACAACAATGAGTTGCTACAATTGTGAATGTAAGCGGCGATAGAAATTATGCTAAATTAGCCGAGCACCAAAGGCGCATGCTGCAGGTGTAGTTATGTGCTCTGCATGTGATGGCATCTGCAACAGTAAATTTTCTAAAGCAAATATTTAAAAGAAATTACTATACACTCGGCATGTGGACCTCTCAACGCCATATTTTAGTAATGGGGCTTGGAAGTTTTTATAGACATTTTCCACGGGGGCGCCGCCATCTTGAATTGTCGTCACTTCCAGTATGGGCGACGACAAAATAGTAAAACGTTTCAACCTCCAACCAGTAAAAAAATTGAGGGGAGCCAAATCGAGAATGTGTGACGGTTAGGCTTATATCCTAAATGTCTTCTATTGGCGTGGCGACGGCAAAGTTGTGTTTTCGCCCATACTGGAAGTGACGTCAATTCAAGATGGCGGCGCCCTTGTGGAAAAGGTCTATATACATAGAAGCATGTGCAGCACATATATACAAAATTTCTCTGCATTTTCCCTGCTGTTTGGGTAATTTGACAAAAAGTTTAGAACAATGTTTCCTGGGCTATAGTCTGCATCCGGTGTATAGTCCGCAGGGGCCAATTTGGGGTCAAGAAGAAAAGTTTTTGCTTAGATAATCCGCACCCAGTGCATAGCCCGCACGCTGTGCATAGTCCACACTTGATGCATAGTCGACACAACGATCTTCTCATACACGGCACACCTTGACAAATGTCTGCTTTCTTAGCTCACAAAGAAGCTTGTATTATACATAAATCTTCAATAACATACTCTTTCATTCACAAAATTCTTCATGTCTCGTCATAATGAACAATCTTGAAAAACGAAATTCCTGTATAGTTTGCATGTATAGATAGTCTGCACAGCCTAAAATTTTAAACTTTTAAATATGTATAGTCCGCGGACTATTGGGAAGGAGATCAGACCATGGCGTCCCAAGCGGTTAACTTTAGAGCTACACGGATGGGGACGGCAAATACAATGACTCGGCGATCGGCTGACTTCACCGAACGAGGCATCAGCGTTTGGCAGGAGTTTGTGTTCTTCGGTGAGGGGGAGGCGGGGCTCTTTTATTACCACTCCGGCCGGCACGAACAATGCAGCATGCATGGTGCCCAACTCAGTACAAAAGCAGAAGTGGGTCAAGCTTGCATTCTCTGACGACTGCTTTCGGGAGAGAACCGGCACTTAGCGTCACTTCATTTATTGTTAGTATTTTTACATTACACTGTGCCCCACGCTCTGTTGAAGAAGGTGACATGGACATGCCCACAAGGCCTATGGGCATGTGCACAGGCCTTGTGTTGGGTAAACACCGAGATGTGGGGACAACAAACGGGTCAGAGCACCCCCTATAGTTCTATCTCCTCGCCAATAGCCCGGGAAATGCGGTAAATGTAGGCCTTGCTCATTAACTATTTTAATCTAAAACATAAGAAGTTCACTATACAGTCTTCATTAAAGGAAGTACTAGCAGAAGTATATATTTCTTAGACACCTGGCTTTAAAAACTTGGGGGACGCTTAAGCTTCGCCTTTAAAGGCGCATTCACACTGGAAGCAGATCCGCATTCGCAAAGCGGTTGCGGTTCGCAAGCGACCCCGTTCAGACACGCCGAGAGACGGTTGGCGAGGCAGTTTCTCGGCGATCACGCGTGATCTTTTGAGAGTTGCATTTGGCAACCCTGTTTTAAAATCCAAAATCCACTGTAATTCACGATTCAATGCCAAAATTTTGCTACTTTGGCACTCTAAAGATTTTGCTTCGGGATGTTCGCACGCATCACGAGTTCAGGCAGCAAAAAAAAAGGCATGGACCCGCAAAACTCGCCTGCGTGCCCTGTGATTCCCTCAACTTCGCCCACAAGCAAAGCCCAGCTAAGTGCGCCTTGCTGACTCAGAACAGCATGCCCCCAACCTTTTCTTCGAAATGGACCAGCAGGAATAGCTGACCTTGTTTTCAAGATAGAGGGCCAGTTTTCCTCCCTCGATGTTCGCTCTTATCATTTTCGAAGTTGTGAGTGGTGGGGTGGGCAGTGGTGCGGGGAATGTGTTTGGTGCTAGCCGGTCGTGGCTTCGTTGGTGGCGGACTCCCCTCTCGTCACTCGCACGTCAATCAAGTCTACTGTTCGTTTGACTTTAAGCTCAAATAAACGCCGTATGAATTACCTCTGCATTGTCTGGTACATACACTTTATTCCTTAAGTATGTTTCCTTTATTTTCTTTTGTTAGTAGTAAACGTTACAGGTCGAGCTAGCGCAGGTACCCTGCCCGCTCTGCGGTAGTGTGTTGGCTGCGCAATCAAGCTCACGAGATCTCTATCAGCCTTCGTTTTGGTCATGCACGGTGTCAAAAACTTTTAATAGTTGACGCGACTATCGTGGGCAGAAAAGCTGACGTTTCAGTATATCAGGGGCGGGTTCCGACGTTCTACGGGCAGACACTAACAAGTCGGCGAGCTACAGGCTGTGGCACCTAGAATAATAAATAAACTCTTACCCGAACCAAATCACCGATGCGAAGCCCGTTAAAATTACGAGTCAATTCTTTTTGCAGCAGGTACAAGTGACGGACGCGAACATCACGTTTCTCCGTTGATTTGTTTGCTGTCACGTTAGAACTACAGCGCCTTGGATGCCTCACCAGCGACAGGAGCCACCTTGTTTCAAAAGTCACTGACATCACGTCAGCGTCGCGTTGTGATTGCTTTGCGGTTTGTGAAAGCGGTTGGGAGAAATCGGTTCCGAAGCGGTTGGCATAATGTGCTCCGACCGCTAGATCCTAACCGTATTCCGGTTGAGAACGCGCGGATCTGCTTTGCGTTTGCGGAACCGCTTCCAGTGTGAACGCGCCATTAGAGTGGAACGCGATAGCGTTATCGGGCCCCGTTCGCAAAGCCTTTTCATATAAACCCAAGCTTGTTCCCAAGCTGTGCAAGCATGTGTGTGGTCTAGTCGGTAGCATCACATGACGCTTGACGTCACACGTGGCTGAGACATCATAAGTTTATCGAGATGCTAAATTTAGCGAAAATTTTCCGCTAAATTTCGTGGAAACATTTAGCGGGTCAATAGGGTCATGACGTTACAGCCGCGTGTGACGTCACACGTGGCTGCGTGCATCGCACGATAGGAATTCTTGGTCTCACCGACGCCAGATATTCTGCGACATGAGCTTCTAAACGCTACCGTGTTAAAATAATAAGTTGTTTTCAAAGTGTATGAGAAGAGAATGTTTACTAAAGATGCTAACGAAACTACTGCTCCTCAACTGTTATATAGTCGCCTCTGAAGAAGTGACCGAGTCAGTTTGAAATGCTGGGGCCCGTAAACTTTAGGGCTTGGTTGGAAGTCTTTTTCAACTCTAAATATCTATTGTCAGCGACGGGTTAAAGTCACAATAGACGCTTCGCCTTGAGTGCGAGCTTACTGCCTTAGCGACGGGTCAAAGTCGCAATATACGCTTCGCCTTGAGTGCGAGCTTACTGCCTTTGGTAACACTTTGTCTCATGCGCAGCCAATGCCTGACAGAAGCACATACTACAGGCAGGGCTTTTAGTGGGATCTCAACCTGTCACCAACTGTAGATAGACTTGTTTGCAAGTTTACATTCAGATGTATACAATATTCCCTAACAGATCATTTCAGTATATAATAATGCCATAGTGCACTAGTTTTTTGTGGCTGCACCCTTTCTTATGCGTTCTGGTCTTTCGTCAAGTACAGAAAATGCAGAGCGCATGATGTGGACGAACATATCAGTAAACGCGGGCAAAAAAAGGCACAACCATGACAGAACAAAGCTGTACTTGTGACTCAAGTCTATTAAAGTACAGCCATATCCCGTTGTGGTTGTGCCTGTTCTTCAACTGTTTTCTGAGCTGTTTATCTCCATTCTGTACGAAGTCTACCGACTGTCCCGATTTGCTACCCGAGTACAGAATGCAAAGTTTTGCAGGGGCACTAGAGAAAGCGCATGACGACGGACGGAGATACGTACCGCGGTCCGTCGATCTGAAAGGACTGATGGCACGGCATCCGTCCTCAGACGAGCAAACTTCGTTGAGAAGCCGGCGTCGGCCAACAGACGCAGGTTTCGGTCGTAGCATTCCGGCAGGAAGTGGTCGGAACAAACCAACGCCCGTCTGTTTTCCGACAGGGGCGTCCCAGAGTTCCACTGGACCACGACGTCCATCCACTGCTTCCGACGAGCGGCGTCGCGGGGAAACGTGTGGAACGAAACTCCCGGGCTGTACAACTGGTAGTTGGAGCAGCTGCGGACGCAACACCGAGACCCTCCGCGCCTCCCGTAAGACATCGCAGCTGGGCACCGGAGACGGGGGGCCTGCGCACGAAGAGTGTGGACTAGAGTCGCCAAATACAGAGTACATACAGTGGCGGCACGCCGTTCTCCGATTCCCTCGTGGGTGCCACTGTCTTGGTGCCCGGTGCACGAGTCTGAACGACGCCATATTGACTCTAGTTCTTGACGATCCGCGACGACACATAGCGATGGTAGTCTCAGACTCGAGCGACACAACAAAAACAATGTGCTTGCTCTTTATTTTTTTCCGTTGAAGTGCAAGCAGGTTAGCGGTGTGGTGTAATGTTACATTTTGTCATGATATCAGGGATGGGCCTAAAGTAGTCATATTTGGAAATCAAAGCTAAATATGCAAGTCCAAGAAAAGAAGAGAGCACAAGGTCCCTTTTCTAGAAAATTTAAAATGTTCCACTGAGAGACTCGGCTACTTTGCACAGTAAAAACCACTGCTGTTTATGTTTCTTGTCCTAAAACATAATCCCCTTCTTCCCCGTTTCTCCGTGTTGGCCCTCGACCTTCGGTGGTTGGGCTAGCTGGCCCCCGCGCGAGTTTCATAATGGGAGAAGAAAGGGGACTTAATTTTTCTCTGGCCAGAGAATGACCTCCACAGGCTACTTACTGGGACAGAGGCGGGGTTTATCCAGGATCGAGAATCTGAGGGATCAAAATGGCCCGACTGCCCGCGGACTTTCTTGCGCTATTCGCAGTAGGCGCTCCTATGAGTCGCAGCGTCAAATGGGCATTTTTTTTCAGCCGGGGTGTCTACTGTCTACTGTCCTTTGAAAACAGGAGGCCCCACCAACGCTCTCCGCGATGAAGTGCCGATTTGCGCGAAGTGCGCGACGGCTCACTGCTTCCTGTGCTATCGGATTGTGTGATTCCCAGCCGCCACAAAAGAAATTGACGGATTGCTTCTCTCCCAGGTGTAAGGACATGAGCGGTGGCGACAGGATGCGTTTAAAACACGGAAGAGGGAGGCAGATTCGGGCAGATTAACAACACGACACCACACGGTTTAGAAAAGCTGGATTGGATTGTCTTGTTTGGTTGACTTCCATCCTTGAAATCAAACTTCTTGAAAACGCGTGCAGAGAAGCTGATAATGCCTAGTTGCTCTTTCTATATTCTTTCAATTGATGGGTTTTATTCACAAATACTCGGGTGTAGTAATAAATATTATTTTTATTTATGACAGGTGAGCATTGACCAGCATTGACACTAATTTACATTTACACCAACTATCAATCCAAAACATCCAATCTGTAGAAGTTTTCGCAATCTGAAGCGCAGAAACGCGGTCCCGTGATTGCAAAAAACAAGAAAATAAACAAAATAAAAAAAAATAATACGTCAACAAAGTAAAAATAAGAAAAAGTTTCCTCGCTAAAAACCGTGACGTCACAAAAAACAAAACAAGCAAAACAAAATTTCTTTGTCACGTGACGTTATATTTGTGACGTCACTTTCGGTGACGTCGGGTCACGTGATCTGCCATTATTCCTCCTCCGAATCGCTCGTGTTAGGACAACTAGAACAGAAAGATGGCTACTGGTCAAAATCACGGGCAGTGCCAAATTTGTATATATTCGCCCTTGAATTTACCAACAGCTCGTTAGAATTTACCAGTAATGTTGGAATTTACCACCAGGCTAAAGATGGCGTCTCGCTGGTGCGGCTTGCTCGGTTTGATCCAGTGGTTTGATCATAGTTTGATCGGCGGCGCGCGATTCCGACCGCGGTTAGATGTTTACGTTGCTGGTGAGGTTACATCAGAGTCTATGCGGCAAGAGCTCTTCCGTCTTCATCCTCAGCACCCCTGGGGAAGCGATTTATTCTACTACTCCGTAATTCAATTATCAGATGGACAATCAAACAAAAGACTGTGTGCGCGCGTTTTTTTTTTTTTTTTCCTTCTTTTTTTTTCTCGAGGAGAGCGACGGAGGTGCCGTTGGAGTTTTGAGGCGCACGGTGGACAAGACCCAGGGACCACGTCGATGTCCGGAGTAGTCCGGGGAGCAGGAGGACCCCGTCGACCCAAACGTATCGCCAGCAATTCGGGCTCGGCTGCTGGTAGCGGCCCGCGTTCGCCAGGAGACAAAGGTATTCTCCAGGCAACTGAACACCACTGTCCCCGACCGGGCCCTCAGCCAGATCGAGGTCCACGAGAACCTTTGCGAATTTCTCGGGTGCCGCTGCGACGGAGTCGGGGGCGTGGACCCGGGCCGCGTGCCCCCGGAAAAGCCCCCGAGGGCCACCCAAGGCACTGTGACCGACAGCCTGTGGCCCACCGGGACCGCCGCTGCCGAAATGACGGACCAGACCGCCGCTGCCGTGATGGCGGACCAGCCCGGGCGGGGCGGAGTGACCACGGCCTCGGCTCCCGTAATGGCGGCGATGAGAGACAATGGGGAGCCCTCCCCGGTCGGCTCCCCCGCACCGGGCGGCAAAGATGGCGCCCGTGCCCGCCCAAGATCCTCATCTTGCCCGGGGGGGGGGGGGGAGGAGAGGAGGGGGAGGGAGGGAGGGAGGGGAGGAGAAGGGGAGAGACATCACCCCCCGGCCCCTCGCTGTCCCGGCAGAGTCCGCGCCGGCAGCAGGCTCCACGTCTGCCCCCCTCGACCCCCGTTTCCACTCTGCGAACATCTTCCAGGACCTGCGCGATGACGACTGCGGCGACGATCTCCATGCCCCCTGGAGGAAAGTCTGCAGAGGAGGGAGGCTGGATAAGGGATGCGGAGGAGCGGGCAACGGCGCCGTGCCCCTCCACCTTCAGAACGGCAGCAAGCACATCGAGACATGCCGGGACGCGGGTCAGCCAACCCCCCAGACCGTCCTGCTTTGGCACAGAGAGCGGGCGGCCCTGAAAAGAGCTAACCGCTTCAGTGTGGGGCGGGACAACGGTCTGATCGCGGGCAGGGGCTGCACCACCCGCATCAACCTCAGGCGGAACATCGTCGTGGTGGACACTACCGACGAGGAGATGGCTGCCCGTCTCCTCGCAATAAAGAAGTTGGGAGAGATCGAGGCGGAGGCGCTGCTTGCCACCCATAGAAGGGGTCCCACAGGGCTGGTGATTGATGTGAACCCGGACGCCTTCCTCGCGGACGTCGAGTCTCCCTTCCGCGTCATCGCGGCCCACCGGACCAACCATGGAAGGGACTTGCGACACAAAGGTATAAGAGAAATTCGAGTTGCAGGACGACTCAATCTTTGACATGACTGCACTGGTGCGGATCGTGTGGGAACTCCAAATTCTTCTTTTGGAAATTGTATTTTTTACTTTACAAATACAGAGATCCCAAGTTTCAAACTTTGAGGGTAATGCCCAGGCATCGTTTTCAATCGTTTTGGATAATAAAGAAAGGATATTTGCAAGTGATATGCGGCATGTTAGCGATCTGCGGAACCAGTGGGACTCCCTCCTCGACTTGAGCATTCACACGAACGGCGAGGAGCCGAGAGGGATGTCAGTGTTATCCATTCTTCTACACGTTACTAAAAAAAAGTAATCACAATTAATATTACTCTTGGCTAAAAAGTATTTGATTATATTACTTGATTACTCGACGGCAAAAGTAATTGGACAGTACTTAAAGAAGTAATCGTTACTTTTCCGATTACTTTATTGTGTGAAGACACATCTTTAGCGCTCATAACAATGAACTACTTCCAACCTATATTTCACATTTGCACAAGTATTGAAGAAAAAAAACTGGCTCACTCTTCGTGGTCGTTGCACCTTCACAATGCGGACACAAGTATAGAATTCGTTTGAAGACATTTAATGATTTGGGCGTTCGCCAGTTTGTGTGTGGGGGGGGGGGGGGGGGGGGGGGCGGAGGGGGTTCTAGATCTTGTTAAGCTTGAGCAAGGGTTGTCGCTCAAAGTTTGCGTCGCTCATTTTATATTTTATTATTCACATGTGGATGAGCTCGCATGTTATACAAAGGAGCAGCAGCTCCAGGATTTGAAACGGATCATGTGTAGTATCCATTAGCGGAAGAGATCGTCCCGACCACTTCTCAACTCGAAACATTGCTTGTCACAAAGACCACATAGCGGAAACGGGGAAATATTTCAACTGCCTTTGTTATATTTTGCATCCCTTTAGACATTCTTCGGTTCTGGTTCTCCTACGGGCTGCGAGTAGGTATCCTAAGCAGGATGTTTTATTTTTTTATTTCTGTGTGTGTGTGTGTGAGGGTGCTAGTTTGAACGAAGGACTCGCAAAGCTACATTCTGCTTCCTCAAACTTCGCCCTGAATGGCCTTTGTCACGCACTGTGGCTTCCCTGGGGTTTCCCAGTCCCAGCTCGAAAAAAACGGACATTCCACAGAAACTGTACTTAGAAAGAGACTGACCTCGTCTCCTACAGCTCCGCTAAAATCTTTCTTTTTTCTGTTAGAAAAAGAAAAGCAAATTTTATTTTTGTCATTTCATAAAAAAGCGTGTGCCGTGAGGGGGGGGGGGGGGTCCCGTGGACAAATTGTAATGGTTACAAGTAATTTTATTGCTTCAAAAAGTAATCAGATTACCCTTGTGATTACTGCCTAATAAAAGTAATCAACTGATTACAAAATTACTCCAAAAAGTAATCGATTACAAGTAATTTGATTACTTGTAATGCGTACAGTACAAGTCTGGTGTTATCAGACGCATTTGGCGACCACACTCTCTCGGTGTGCACCGATGAGAGCAGAAAAATGGAGGCATGCAGGCAACGGCGATTTGCTATTATGGCAGCAGCACTGTTGGATGCAGAAGACGACAAACCGTTTTCTCCTAAAAGAAAAGGTGCTGCTTGAATGGCTGGATGCAACACAATCCATAACCAACTGTATGAGGAGTGGCTTGAGGACGGAACCAATGAATATTGAAGACCCCTTTGGGTGCCTCAGACAACATGCGCAGTGCATGTCACAACAAGTTAGGCGATCTTGATGTTACCACCAGTATCCCGCTAAACAAAATCTGTAAAGTTGCCAGATCCCACGCCGAGGCGGGGACTTTTTGTGCAGTCGGAGCAAAACCTCCCTTATCCCCCCCGGCATGTCTATGTCAGCACAGCTGCGCGCAAAGGCGTAGCATTACTACGTGATGCGCATGCCGGGGAACAAAAAGGGGGATTTCTCCCCCTTGTGAATATCTATTTACAAGGACCTTCTGGATTCGCAGCCATGTAAAAGAAAGTTAAATGCCCTCCAGTGTTTTCGTAATGCTTCGCCTGATGTGCTGAAATCACCTTATGTGCCCAGGTGGGATTTTCAGGATACACACTTTTAAGTTGTATATGGGATCAGGTAAATCGTAAGCAATAAGGTGCATTATACATCCTGCAAATCAGTTTACTATATGCTTAAAAAGTTTGCTAAAATTTGTGACATACAAATAAAAAGATTGCATGAAAAAAGCTATAACTTGATTTCTTGGTTTATGAACAATGTAAATGCTAGATTATTGTTTACCTGAGAAAACATTACTCTTTTTATTAAATATAATTCTATGCCAATTTTTTTGTCATCTTTCAATAAAACTTTTGCACAGGTTGTATGCAAGAGTGAGATTTTATTTGTTGCTAAAATCCAGAACTAACCATAAACTTTAGTGATGTATATGTTGGGGAAATAAGGAAATATAAAACAATCACTAAGTCATGACAGGCATGTTCAGTCGTACACAACACATATTTTTTGGTTTTATAGTCGTGATTGTTTGGAGGACTGAGCTGCGGGTTTATCTTGGAGAGAAACTAACAAATAGTATGGCTTGTATACTAGAAATCTGTACCCTGAACCAACAAGTGCACATACGATACAAATTGTTTTGTTTCTCTTTTCTTTTTTCAGGGCAATTTTGAAGCAAAATGTGGCTCATCTAAAAAAAGTGGACGTCACTGCAGGCATTATTGCACGGAAAAGTGCTGGAATGAATTGTCTGGCTTAGCAATGACTGGTGTACCCTGCAAATGAAACCCATCAAATGGCCTGCTCCGTATAAAGATCTCATGGTGTTTTTTTGTTGTTGTTTTTTAGCATATGGTAATCGCACTGTTTGTTATGAATGGACACGACATCGTATGCCCTGTATCATCTGTTTCACGTCGATGTGCTTTGCATCAGTTTCATTACTTGGCACTTGCAAAGCTGGTTTGGGTTTGTAGAGAAGTGTGACAGTTACACTTGACATCTGATTTGTGTCCTCTCAGATTTTACTCTATATACCTTGTTGCAGGTTAAGTAGGACAAACTCCTGCCCCAAAGCCCTTTATTCTTTCCAGTTTACAGACTGAATCCTAGAGACGAGAAGAGCGGACTCATCTCCTCTCCAGCGTTTGCCCTGATAAAGTGGAAAGAGTGAAGAGCCTTGTGGGAGACACTTCTCCTTCTTTTCGTAACCTGCAGCGGAGTAGTTCTTCTGCTTAAATTTGTGATATTATTATTGACACCTCAAAATGCTTTGTGGCATTTAGTACTCTTTGTCTGACTTGTAGGATTGTAGCAGTCGTTTAAATTTTGGAGGGTACTATTGTTTGTTTACAAAAGCAAAACCAGCTTCCATATTTGTAAGTTTTCAATCGCATCTTTCGTGTTAAATTGCTTACACATGCGAGAAATAGGTACAAGATAGTCCGATTGAACGAGAGAATAACTAGGTCTGTTACCTGAAAACTCTTTTCTGAAGCTTTTGCTTAGTTAATTTATATGGGACTTGATATTTTGCACAAGAGAATGGCGGTTGTTTCTATAAAAATAAAACTTTATAAATTAGAAAGAATGAGGTATAGTTAAAAACAAGGGCATAACATGTCAGAGCCATACAGATGTTCTGCATCGACATGGAAAGATAATTGAATGCAAACCAATATATAAAGTAAATCGCACATCCTAAGGAAAACAGGTTGTTATGCAACAACCCGAGATAAAGACATCGTAGATAGGAACAGATGCTTATTCTTGTTTGGCAGTGCTTTTCCTCTTTTCTGGTATGTACTACTTTTAAGCAGAGGCTTTAATTGCGTCACTTTGCTCTTCATCAAAAGCGTTTTAGCTGAGATTCGGAGAATCAAATGCGATAGTTATCACCAAGAACTTTGCCCTCGATTTGTGTCACTTGTGGCTTTTGGTAGAAGATAGTAGGGTTTGCCTTTAAATTCATACCGAAACAGTAAAGTGATTCAATGGCAGCTGCGTACGACAAAATGCAAAAATTTGACCTCAACCCTCGCAGATCAGCTTGTCCCATAAAGCCCTCCACTCTCCACCCTAGCAAAGCAAACGCCGGAGAGGAGGAAATCAACAATCGTGGCTGGCAGGGAGCTTGGTGGGAGGGGCCGATCTGCGAGGGCGGAGGTCGCAGCTCCGACGTCACGCCACTGCGGTGGCGCTGCCGTCGGCATAGCACACGCTTGGATGCTTCAACTTGCGCAGATCTAATTTCTGCGCACGCGCAGTTTACAAAAGAAGCTGGCGTCTGCCACACCACTTGTGGACACTGCACTCACCTGGAAACCAGATTCGCGCAAGTCGAACTGTTTGTGCATGCGCCGTGCGACGTCGGAGCTCCGCTTCTGTCTATAATCCATGATGCGGCACCGCAGGGTTTAACCGTGCAACCTTTCTTTCAGCAACACCAGTGGCGATTCCCGGCCGGCAAAGTGGTGGAAGTCTCCCGTTTGCCCCGCCGAAAAGGTGGAAGGTACGACGCCAGAAGGCGCTCCACGAGTGCCGTTTCTGCCCGTACTCCTGCGAGCACAAGTTGAACCTCCTCAAGCACGAGCGGACGCACACGGGCGAGAAACCCTTCCAGTGCCAGTCGTGTCTCAGGGGCTTCGCGACGAGGGCCAACTACGTCAGGCACCTCAAGGTTCACAGGGAGGGCAAGTTCAAGTGCTCCTTCTGCGAGGCAATGTTCACCGACAAGAAGTGCAGGACGGTCCACGAGCAAGTCCACTGCGGCAACGCCCCACGGTGCAACGTGTGCGGACGACAGTTCAAGAGCACCCTCTGCCTGATCCAGCACAAGGAGCTGCAACACGAGGAGCCACCGTCGAAGGAGACGGCGCCGGTCGCGCCTGGAGCGGGTGTCGTAGGGAATGCGGAAGACACGTTGGAGTTGCCAAAGAGTTTGGCAGAGCTGGGGAAGGGTGGGGAGGGGACACCGGTCAAGGTCGAGAACCCGGCGGCGGACGTCTCAACGCCACCTCTATGAGGGGAGTGCAGAGGTTTTAAATGGAGCTCCAGTTATGGTTTTACCCCCAACTATGGTTTTGGACTACTATCCGGGATTTACCCTTTGCGGCATGCTCTTTATTATCTCTGAATTCCGAACTTGCCATCCAGAAACAATCCCTTCCTTTCCCACTTTGAACGCCAATACTGACGTTTGAATTTTTCTGTGCTTTCCGGTGGGGCAACGCAACACTGCCCAGAACACAAGTTGTGGTCACGTCGTCGTCGGTGGATTCCAGGGAGGTAAGAAGCTCTTGGAGGTGACATGACGCCACCAGAGGCGAAGCCACAAGTGTGGAGGGACACGCCCCTACTGACGGCCAAAACAACCGTGGTTTTGGACAGCCGACGGTACAAGCTAATGGGACCAATCAAACAGTGTTAAAAGTGCAAGTCACTGGGCTTTTCTTGTTTGATTGGCTCAGCAATGATAGAACACATTCAAAAACATGATAAACTCCACGATGGTGCACTTTTAAGTGTGCCATCATGGTGCACTTAAAGCTGATGGTGCACTTAGAGCTGATGGTGCACTTTTTTAAGTGCACCATCACCTCATAGCATCTGCTGCATCTGGACTTAGGTGCAACGAAGTATAGTACCAAATATTCTCACGGACTCGCTGCACAAATTGCTTGGTCACACTAGCATGTCCATTTGCTCGGAAACGCTTTCTTCTGAACGCCGCTTAACATTTACATGCAGCAACATCTTGATGTTGAATGCATTCCATTCTAACACCCAGGGTACTACTGTCGGCGCATATACGCATGAATGACGTTCTCTCGCCGCCTTATTTACGTCGTCGAGCAGCCGCTGCTTGCTCCGACATATGCTTCGGCCGCCCCATTCTCGCCAAGGGAATGGCAACCGAAAGCGAGACAGACCAAATGGCAAGGAGCACTCTCACATGACCCCTTGCACGATCGCAATTGGCCGAACGCGCTGCGCCTCAAACCGAAGGGTGAGGATATCACCGCTGTACTCCCTCTACCAGCACCAAAGCCACCTGCAATAAATACGTGCATGCTTCATTTGTTTTCGGCAACACAAAACTTGTTCAAAAGGAAACAAAAACGTCCAAGTGCGAAACAATGGCACGACAAACAGTGCAGACAAATTCGTCGTGGTCGTTGTGTTGCCCACGACAAAACAAAAAATGTGGTCGGATGCTGCCACATAATTTCCGGCCTTGAATTTTCATGCTTGTGTTTCGGTTTCAAACAGTCAAGCTTCTTTGGCTCTATTAAAAATATATGTGGCTCTGCAAGAAAATATTGATTAGGTAGTTTCCTGACCACATTAAAATGTTTGGAAAAAACAAAACATTTGTGGAGTGTTGGTGTTTTTTTAATGGTCAATATGCCGAATAGCAGCGCCCCTAACGGTTCGGGTGTACTCTGGGAGGGGGAAAGTGTCAATGGGTAGGTGTTGTGCATCTCATCTGCTCTTGTATTTGCATAGCCGTTGCTCATGTCGTGAATTTTTCCACACCTAAGTGCGATTTAGTCTACCCTTTTCTCGTCGCTAGATATCGGACACAGCAAATAATGAAACATTTGTAATCTTGCTGGCACGGGAAGAGCGAAAACGCAGCAGCGGAAAAGTCAAGTGAACGCAGATCGATGTATGCTGAACGTCATACCAGCTCGGTGCGTGCATTTGTTTGCAACCTCGAGAACATCCACAGAGACTAGTACTCGAGTTTTATAGCACCCTTGTTCCCATGGGCAATTTTCTCACAGCGACGTAGCAAGATGTGCAGGTTTGCACTTCATTACATTCTCACTCATAGAGCTAGGTTTGTGGCATACCGCATTAGCCCTATTTAAAATAGCAATCGGCAAAGCGGTGAGATGTGTGACAGTGTTCAGACGAAAGAGTGGCTCGAATAGACGCCACACTATTCACTTGCTTCCAAAGGCTTTTAAATGCTGCTTCTGTTGGAACAGGTTTTGTTTGGAGGCTTCCTTGGCTGCTCATGAAAGGAGTTGCACAAAGCTACGGTTGCTTATGAAAGGATTCATGAAGCTAAAAGGTTGAACAAACGCAGCACCCACCAAGAGCAGTTAAAATTCCCCTTTGAGCTTCCCTTTCAAGTCATGTGTCCTAATCAATTGAGAATTCCCTGGAATCTTGCAACCTACAAGTTAAAGATCTACAAATGCAACACCTGCACAATGGCTTTCATCATATATGAGCAACTTTGAGAAGTACACCCAGGGGTTCACCAAGACATGGGGCCCTTGTGGTGCTCTACCTGCCCGGGAGTTCGACCAAGAATCACAAACACTGATGCAAACATATATTTCATGTGCCATAGTCTAAGTGGTGGTTTAAACTGGAGCAGTTCAAACTACCATACTTTTATTTACCCATTAGACCGATGGATACCGTGCCCCGAATTGCACTGGTGCCTTCAAATACCCTTTGAGAAATCGGTTTAATGTTAAAAAGGTAAACGAAACCTGCAAGTGTGGAGGCGAAGTGCTTGCCGCTTTTTCTGCATCAAGTTGCAGATAAGCATTGAGTCCGCACACAATTATTAAGCATCTAGTTTGAGAATTAACACATCAGGCAGTCATTCTTGTAACTAAAAAACATAAATTAATCATGCCTTTTATTCCTAGGTGACCATTTATTCAGAGATGACCCGGTGCCTCTCATCCAAGTGATGAGCGTGTGTGCATGCACAGTGCCGACAGCAGTGCCACCGCAGTGCCGTGACTTGACGATACACCTGAATTATCTACTTTCTTCCTCTCGGTTTCCTGCAGTTTTTTATTTATAGGCATTTCCTTTATTGGAGTACACAGAATTTGTGCACTACATTGATGCCATCATTTGTGTTGGCTCATTCAGTCGTCATAATTTGTATGCCCTTTGCACGTGTGTCAGGGTTACTCGTTTTGTTCATAATGCTTGAATGGATCCAAGGCTAGTTGGAAAGAATGCGAGTCCGTCTTTCCTTTTTATGCCGATTGAATGTGTTATGTGAATAACGGAATAAAGTTATTCTCATCCAAGTTTCTGCCGCAGTTCTGCCTCCTCAAAAAAGTTGCACCTGTACTAACAAGCATTTTCGACCTGGGTGACTCGTTGCAGTTTGTAGTTGGTTCAACTTTAGCTCTTCGTTTCACCGAGGGATCAAAGGATGGACTTTGAAATTGTTATATGCAATAAGAAAAAAATATGATTGGCAGGATATGTACAAGTCGTGAACTTGGCTCGTAACCAGCTCTACATGGGGTCTCCGTTCAAAGTGAAAAATTTTCTACATTTCATTCTATGGCTTTTCACAGATTCAAGTGTCCAATCAATTTTATGTGCCATCAAAGCCAATCCCATGACGGAGTTTTACACAACCTTTGAGATGGGTACAGCCACATTTGGGGTGCATATTCGAGGCGCTCACAGCGGTGGGTTAACTGGGGTGGCCCGTAGTGTTTGCTGCGGTCCGCCAAAGGTGAAACAGTATAGGCAAATGCTGCTTGGGGAGATTTTTTTTTTTTTTTTTTCTTTTTGCTGGTTGGTTGACCTTGCTTGCGAGTACTGTACTTTGGGTCTATTTCTGAGTGCCTGTTTGACCACGTAATTCGTTTGAAGTGGTATTTGTGACAAACGTTAAGATTGCCGAACAAACATGAGCGTACGTTTTTTCCGCTGACCCCGCTTCCACAGCACGGCTTCGGATGACTAGCTGTTTTTGTATAGACATTTTATAGCGGATGACGGTGAGTTGAATGTACCTTCTTTCCAGCGACTGGAGCTACAAGGTTTAATCCTTGTGTACTAGCGGCAAGATAAGTGGAAGCTTACGCTTTATCGGACCCAGTTCGGGACCTAACGGATGTTGTCAGCATTGTCACAAACATATATGAAGGGCTTGCTTCATATATGTTCTTTCTTTCACAACTGTTGTGCATTCACCCATAGCGAAAAATATATAGACCAATAGTGTGAATGGGGTCAAATAGGATCACAGCGTAGGCCGTCGATGCTACAAATATTGCCTACCATAAATGAAACTATGGACGTGACGTAACATTAAGCTCCCTTGCTAAAAAGAAGGCATATACTTGCACTTGGTTTTTGTACCGACATCGCAAAGAGGTATTGGTACCCCAAATAATGCAATACCGAGTAAATTTTTTTTTCTTTAAAGTAGTGGTTTATTTAGTATATGAGAAATGCACATTCTCTAATTGGTCTCAATCTTCGTAGAAAGCTGTACGACATTTTTTTAATGGGGATTGCTTTCAATACAGAAGAGCATTACCAGTATGTTGATTTAAACCCACGACTAAATAGATAAAATATTTGCCGGGTGGAGTTAAGATTTCGTGCCTGTTGTATTCTTTTTCTGTGTTTCACTCAACAGCAGAGCGCTCTAGTCTAAAACAATCGAGGTGGATAAAAAAAAATCAACACAATATAAATTTTGGTTCAGACTAGAGTTCTCCAAACGTCTTGGCTAAGGGGATGGATTAGGGGTCTTGAGGACCGGAAAGTTAACTAGGAAATAATAAATAAACCTGAATGAGTATTTAAATAAATTGAAACTAAATACAATAATCAAAATATTTTTAAATTTAAAATGTTGCTGAGAACATTGCAAAATAGTTGACACAGAAAACTCGCCAGGTACAACTCGAGATCTATAGGAACTTTGGCAATATTCATATGGAGCAAAATGTTAAAAAGGTAGATCTGATAATATGCAATAGTATATAATTACAAGCATGAAACAAGGAACTATGAGCGGTATAATGATGGTGACAATGCACAAATAACATGGCGAGAGAACCAGTGTTTTAATGCAGTTTGATCTCCTTTCCAATATTTTTGTTTACTGGTGTGTGCCACAAGTCTCCATTTGACTTGACATTGCATTAATTTTATGTTAAAAGCAAGCCAAGCTTCATTTCTCAAACCATAATTGCAAAGAGATCCCTCATTCATGGTGCAACTTTATAATTTCAGTTCAAATCATTTTCAAGACAAAATGTCACCAATAATGTTGTCTTGTTGCATTTGATTGAAATACAAGTTCTATTCAATGGATTGTTGGTTTTATAAGGGGACATGCACCAGGGGAACAATTTTCTTTTTATTTATGGTGCATAATCTTCTCTTTAGAAACCTGATGTTATATTTAATATAGCTTATTTTTATAGGTTTTTCGTGAAATGTACATGCACAAAAAGCCATGTTCGTGCGCACACGAGGCATGACAACTTAAAAAAAGCTTAGTGAATAAAGCTAGGGGAATCAACAACAAAAATAATGTGCCAAATGCACCCTGCAACTTGACTTAGCCATCTGCTTCACCGTCCACCACTAACACCTTGTATTTTTACAAGAAAAAACGACCCATGAAAGACACCTTTGATGAAAAGATTAGATTGCTACGTGCAGGTGTTGATTTTTATGGACCATTTTAGATCGAGCCTGGTGACTTGGCACATCCTATATATGCATGCCAGATTTAATGGTGATAGGACAATATTAAGAACAGAAATTCTTGGGCATAATCTATGAAGATGCCCCCAATTAGATTAAAAGAAACACGCGTTTGAATCTTACCACAGATGTGTAGCTATACTCTTTTGGAATGCAGAAAATTATATTTTGTTAAAGGCCCCATGAAACAAATTTTGGGATGGGATAAATGAATTTAGATTGGGAATTTACTAATAGCATATCGTTTAGTGGGCCAAAAGAAAGAATGAAGTCAAAAACCTGACTTTCATTACGAAAATTTGAAAACAACTATTTCATACCTCCTTCTTTTCGAAAGCTGTCTGCCTTTTGACTGTGATACATCCGCAGTACCCAAAGCATGTCACCCGGCCCAAACGCACGTCGCACGACACCAGACCTCACTTATTCCCTTCAACCCTTAAGCTGACATTGCGATGGAAGCTATGCGCTTGCCTGACCAATCAGCCGCCTCCCTTTCATCACGCGACCTCATTATTTTCACATGGGTATGCGCAAGGGAGTGTATTCAAGTGGCAAAAGTGTGGCTGGCCCAACGAGCACGTAGCATCCACAGCACTGTCAGCTTCAGGGTGAACGGAGTGGGGAAAGCAACTTTTGTTCGAGTTTTGAGCGACGGGCTAATCTTCAAGGAGGAGAAAGGCGGTGTCCGGGTACACAAATAAGGGTCTGAGCAAGAGGAGACTCCCTCCTTTCCGTCTTCTTGAAGTGTTTGGTACAATGCGTAATCTGTGAGTTGAGGAGGAAAGCAAAACAGCAAATAGTTGAAGAATCGTTCCATGACCCCTTTAATAAATTTCTGTGAGAAATTGAAGCTACAGAAGTCTGCAATGCAGAGGTCACGGCGTTAACGTCAATGTTATGGCAGGCGACGTCACAACTTCCAGGAGCAACTCGGAGAAAAATTACTCAAATTGATGCCGTTCTGGGTTGCCTGGAGATCTTCAAATGCGTATTTGACTAGGTAATTTTTCGATCATAATCGGTACTAATTATTTTTATACATCAAATATAAAGAATCAAAAATAATAAGACACTATGAAACCCAAAAGCACATTTTTTGCAAAATATTGCCGTTTTTCAACTTTGCATCTCCTTTAAATAACAAAGTAATATGTAGAGTCTTAACAAACATTTACATTAAAAGGGTAGGTAAACTTTCCAAAAGTATGATCAGTAGTGCCTTGTGTAGTGACAGTGCACATGGCATACGTGGCGACCGAGCATAGTTTGCATCGGTTGAGCTAAATATTATACTGTCGCAATCATTTATAACGAAGTCGGTTATAACTAGGGTGTGTACTTTCCGGTGTTTATTTGTGAGAAAAATCGGCGGATGTTTTTCGGTGTTTATTTATTTTCGAAACACCGGTGTATTTCGGTGGAACGTCTCACGACGAAACTAAAATCGGTGATTATCGGTGGAAAAAAAATGCGATTGATCACAGACAGAGCGTTCTAATTTTATTAACATATTTCATACACTTCTCGAGAAAGCGTATATTTCTCACACTTGGTTATTATAGTGGATGCAAGCATACTTCGAGAGGTTTGCATTCATCATGGCAGCACGTTCCTTGCGGTTCACAACCCGCAATTTTGAAAACACACGCTCCACATTTTCGCTGGACACAGGAAATCCCAAAATGTCCAGCCAGGCTTGGGTCAGTAGACTCCAGTCAGGTAAATGAAGTTTCCAAAATAACACTGGATCAACGGTGCTAGTCACAGCATACTGGCGGTAACAAAGAAACTCTGATTCTAGGTCACTCAGCTAGCTCTCGTCTCGGAGGACCAGCCGATAGATACTTTCATAAGGCACAAATCCCTCTGGCAGCTCCACGTTTATGCACAGATTAACAATTGGCACGCGGAACCAAAACGACGATTCATCCATGAAATCTGTAGCGTAGTCATCCTGAGCTTTCTGCTTACTTCCTATCCTGGTGGCCTTCTATTCCGCGTGACGACGAGAGGAAGCAAGTCTCGCGTTGAGAGAACCCGCAGACACGGGACGGACGCGCCTTCTCAAACACGTCTGCAAATTTTTTTACAGAACGGTTCTTTTATATACAGCGAAAAACTCCCCCGCCAACAAAACCCTTTTTCCGTTTCCCCAAAAGCCCATAGAAACTAAACAGATAACAAGGAACGCATCTCAGTTCTGAAAGTTCAGTAGCCCTGTACGACACGGACGTTGGCATTCTCTTCCAGGAACCACAGCAACCTCTGAATACATGGCTTGCACCGACATTACTTGGCCAGACACAATGGGGAAAAGGCACGTGAGAGCGTATACCTCCGCTGCGTTAATTTTTCCACAAAAGGGGGCCATGGGCGACACAATGGGGGAAAGGCGTGTGAGAGCTTAGCTTTCACTGCGTTAACTGGACGCTTTTCACCCCCAGAAAGGAGGGTGGACTGACGCCACGTGCAAGCCATGTATAGACACTGAAAGAATGCAGGATCCACGAGATAACACGTTTGACGAACTTCTACGGGGAAAGCGTTTCGCTAGGTCGGAAAAGTGCAACGACCGGTGTTTTTCGGTTTTAACCGGGGCAAAAATATCCAACCACCGGTGTTTTTCGGTTTTAACCGATTTTGTATTTTCGTCACCGACGGATGTTTATCGGTGTTTTTCGGTTAAAACCGGAAAATACACACCCTAGTTATAACGAAATAGCAGCTATAGCAAAGCGATCACGATTGCCCATTCCCGTTTGCACTTTTTCTATGTGTTTGTGTCTGTTTTTAGCAAAGGGAATTCAGCGGCTGCCACAGATATAGCAAAGATAAATTTACTGATAATTTAAAAAATAGTAAAATTCTGAAAGTGGATAGAGTCGCAGGCTGCTGCACTTTGCTGCTGCAGCCGAGCAGCCGCCCAGAACAAGCCACAGACATGCTGCAAAGGCTGCCAGCAACAGCCTCCGCGTCCACGTCTGCTCCCCGCTCTTTATCTTGGAAGCGGCTTTTCCGCATTGCACGCGGAGAAGCCGTCGTGGCGTGCCGATAGGAGCGTTCGGAGTGCTAGCAACAACGTATCCATGACATACCGAAAAAATGATGGAAAGAATCTAGATTTTAGAGAGGGAGCAGCCTCAAGGCAGATGCCTCCAGGGCAGATGGGATCAAGTGTGCCTGCCTAATAAGGTTGCCAGGAAGTTTTTTTTTTTTTTTTTTTTTTTTTGTGGGAGGGGGGGAGCGAGTCAACATGCATTTGTACATTTTAGGACCGGCAGGATTTCGGGGGTGGGGGGCTAAAGCCCCACAAGCTCTTCCCCTGGCTACACCCCTACACCTGCATTTGGCTATCTCATGGCCAGCGTGGCGAAGAAACCAGGCGGAGGCGGCCAACGTTTGCAGTAGGGATGTCGCGAACCACCCTAGGTTCGATTTCGAAAGGTTTCGGTATTTGCGAAGCGAACTGAGGTTCGATTTCGAAAAATTTCGATATTTTCGTACCGACCGAGGTTCGATTTCGAAAAATTCGCAACTTTTGTCCACAGCGGAGTTTCGAATCCGAAAATTTCGAAGCTTTCACGGTTTCTAAAATTTCGAATTCGAATATTTCGAATATTGTTTTACTTCTGGTTCGATAAATTCGAAGATTTCAAAATTCTTTGTAAAAAAAATTCGAAAACTTCGAACGCTTCGAATTTTTATAGACATAAAGTTCGAACAATTCGAAGATTTCGAATTTCTTTTGGCATAAAGCTCGAAAAGTTCGAAAGTTTCGATTCTCTTTTAACGCTAAATAAAAAAAAAACAAAAAAAAAAACCTTCGAAGATTTTGAATTTTTTTCTAATCCAAGTTTTCAAAGTTTAAAGTCCGATTTTCAAGTTTTTCTACAGTTTCAGTTTCAAATAACGTTTTCACGACTCACTGGTTTTCACAAAATCAAGTTTAGAAAAGTTAGGGTGTGATATCTAGATTCTGTGAAGTTGGTCAGGCAATTAAATGAGACACGAGTGTCCCGGACGTGCTAGAATATTTGCCAGTGCAGAATTGTGACCGCCAGCCCCGGGGGGGGGTCTTTAACCTGCATCACGCAGTAGTGATTGCACGAACACACTGTTTTACGAGACTCATCCAGTTCGAAACGGCCAGGGGCGAGCAGGAGGTTGAGGCTCAGAAAAACCTGGAAGCGACCTGGCAAACTACCTCGCCACCCCTTGCACGCTGGTAGTAATCCGATCCGGTGAAGTTTATAATTGTCCTGGAGGTTTATTTTCTGGGACGGAGGAATCGCCTCGCAAAAAGCACAAAAGCCGACACAACTCGAGGTCGAGGAGCGTTCTACCATACCAGTGGCGTCGGAAGAGGAAAAACGGGGGGAAAGAGGGTAGCGAGGGGGGGGGCTTTAGCCTCTTTTTCCCCCTTGCAGGTATTTCGGACTGTTAAAGAAAACAATACGGGGAAAGAGGGCGTGGTCGAGCTTATTTTAATCTGAAATTATTTATGCATATGTATAGCTACTGTCGCTCTTCACTGCATAAAAGGTTGCGTAGATGGTCACTGTTAGAAACTCGTTGTTAGAAGGCACTGCTCGTCACATGCTTAGTGGTTCGGAAGTTCAAAGCTATGTCTTTTCGACCTAAACACCTGTGCCGATAGAACAAACGAAAAAAAAAAAAAGAATAAATGCGGGAATAAAAAGCAGGAGAAAACAAAAACTATCAAGAATTCGTCGGAAGTGTTCTATTCTTGCATATTCAGAGGTTCAGAACTTCGAAACAAGTTTCTTTTATTATAAAATGTGTACAGGCTAAAAGAAACACGTCCCAGGAACGTGAAGCGAAAAAAAAAAAACGTTTTCTGTTAATGACCTGCTGAACTTGAACACTACTAGAAATCTTCTGCAATGAGTTAATTTATTCCTTAACGTGAAAAAACAATAAATATATTATTTTGTATTCTGCAGATGGCAATGATATGTACTGTCTGTGGTGTTAATTTAAATGCGATACCTCAAACAACTTAGACGAAAATAAATATCAAGTTTAGGTCATAATTGCATGCAGATACATGTTTGGACATTTCTTCGAAACTCACGTTGAATAACAATAATCACATCTTAAGACGGCACTTACCTAGGCTATACATAGATCATTCTTAAAAAAGTATAACATATCTGCCATAAATAGCTCCGGCTGCAGCGTGCTTCAAATCTGGCACAAACGATAATCGTCAAAAACCCGTCGTCCGTCCTCGCCCCTTCGGGGATTTATTTCTTTAAACCTAAGCATGCCAGAACATTGAAATAAATGACATTGTCTTTCGTAAGAAACGCAGCACCGCGTGTAAAAGTTCGAGAAAAAAAAATTACGAATGTACCCCACTACTTGAAATCAAATGAAACCGTCCGCCGGTCTTTCGAAGTTCGACGAACGTCGAACTTTTACCCTAAAAGTTCGAAGTTCGTCGAACTTCTGACTTTTCAGAATTCGAAAGTTCGAAACTTTTCGAATTTTCTTGATAAATAATTTCGAAAGTTCGAAATTAATCGAATTTTTTGGTCAGTCAAGTTCGAAAGTTCGACAAGCATCGAACCTTGCAGCGCAATAAGTTCGAAACTTCGAAAAAGATCGAATTTTTTTAGCGTAATAAGTTCGACGGTTCGAAAAGCGTCGAACTTCTTAGCTTAACAAGTTCGAAAATTCGACCTCCGTCGAATTTTACGATATAGACAATTCGAAAAATCGAAATCTTTCGAACCTTTCGAACCGCTTGATTCGATCATCGAAACTTCGATTCGAAAAAAGTTCGCGGCATCCCTAGTTTGCAGACGGTGAATGCTTTCGACTCCTTGCGGGCTGCAGCTTGCTTTGCAAACGTGGCCTGCAAACCACGTGACCCCAATCGAGCAGTTGCCCCTTTTTTAAATCTAGGATCTCTATACAGACGAAACACAAACTCGGTGCCGTGCACGTTTTGTTTGCTTCGTGTTCCGTGTAGGCTTTCCTAGTCAATGTGGTTGCTCTCTACGCAAAAGTCTAGCTTCGCACAAGCACTGATTGAGCAACTCATCGCCACTGAACTACCGTAGAATACCGAGCATCCGCCCATTCCGCATTAAGCGCCCGTTACCCAATTCGTAAAATCTGAAAAAATATGCATAGTACATTTATATGTAAAATTGATGACCAGACAAGCACCCATCGCCCATTTTTTTTGCGATTATCTCCAAAGTATGAGTAGGCGCTTGCTCGGTATTTTACGGTATGGCGATTCCCGGAACCGCCGGCACCTCGACGGGGAAGACTAAGGCAATCTCCTTGAAACAAAAGCATGCCGCCATCCTCGACAAAGTGCGCATCAACATAAAAATGACGTCCACTGCCGGCGTCCCCTGCGGCGGTCTCGCAGCTTTCGATACCGCTCTGAACGCGGTCCATACGTGGTTCACAAGATTTTCTTTCGATCGGAGCTTCTCGCAGTTGGCGAGAAGCAGCTACGATCCAGCAGCGAATGCGTACAAAGAAGCGTCGACCGCTTTCTGCAGGTATGATAAACATGTGTCCATGACGGCCAGTGTTATTCTTTTTTTTTTTGCGTGTTACTTTTATGGAGTTTAGATATGACTAAGAAGCGGATGTAGCAAAGTGATATCAGATTCACGTAGACTTTGTTATAACCAATCTTGACAGTACATGTATTTCTCCTTCTGTAAGGTTATTTTGGTGTGATGAACACATTACACCATTTTTATGTCCGGCTACTGCAAGTAGCGCATACTCGGCAAAAGCTACAGGCAATACGTGGGTGGCCATTGTCTAAGGTATTTGGTGAACCGGTTTGTGCCGCTGAAACTAGTAACCAAACATGTATTTTGCATGGCTGAACGGACAACTGAAATAAACCAAAACAAAATATGAAGCTGCTGAACCTGAACCCAAATAGTGACTGGTTCGACACCCTGGTAGTATGTGCAGGATACAAACTCAAGTTCAGACCAACTAGAGAACTGTTGGACGAGTATAGTGGAGGCATCATGGCAACATGTTTTTCTTCATGTGACATTTCTCTAGGTGGGTCATTAAAGGGTGGTTCCGCTTAAATGCCTTTCCGCACAAACTACACTTGAAGAGCTTTTTCCCCATGTGTGTCCTTAAATGAGTCATCAGGGTGTTTCTTTTGCACCACATTCCGCACGTTCCACACTGAAACTGTTTTTTGCACATGTTTCTTTTCCTGTGTTCGTTCAGTTCTGCCTTGAGCAAAAACTCCTCCTGGCAGGTGAGGCACTGAAACCGTTTCTCGCCCGTGTGAATCTTCTCGTGATGACTCAGGTTGGCCCTTTGTCTGAACGTCCGCTGGCAGACGTTGCACGTGAAAAGTTTCTTCCCTTTGTGAGTCCTCTCGTGATTCTTCAGGTGTATTCTCTGCATGAACGTCTGCTGGCAAAAACTGCACACGAAAGGTTTTTCACCCATGTGAGTCTTTTCATGTCCCTTCAAATGGATCTTCTGCTTGAATGCCTTCTGGCAGATGCTGCATGTGAAAGGTCTCTCCCCTGTGTGTGTCCTCTCATGAGCAATCACGTGAGACTTTGTGCTGCTGGTGTAGGAGCAAAAGCGGCACCGAAGCTTGCTACTTTTCTTGCATGGATGTGCCTCCTTCTGCCGGCTTTTTTGCTTTTCTTGGAAGTTGAGCTGGCTGTTGCTGTCCTCAGGATAGATGGTTGAATCATCAACTGGCTCTGCATGGAAGATGCACCGTCATATAGTAGAACATCTTTTAGCTATAAACATGAAGTAGAGAAGGGAAAATTTTTGCAATATCTGCTTGATTTTGAGTTGGATAAAGCAATATACCAGTACATGTCCCTTTGCCTATACAGTATAGCCCACTTACAACGTAACCGCTTATACTGCAGAACCGGGAATAACGCTGCTTTTTTAAACCACCGGTTCGCCTCCCATAGAATTCCATGTATTTACATACCGCTTAAAATGCAGGCGCGCGAAGGGAAATACCGGTTATAGTGCGGTTTTTGGAACAGCGCACCGACTGACCGGCGCTGTGAGCACGCTTCCCTGTGCGACACAAGATAACGGCACAAGCCGCAAGCGGCACTCGCGGGGCAAGGAGTTTGCTCGAAGAAGCGGGGAGAAGCGAAGTGAGAGGCTTCAGTTGCCACAGCGACGCACGCACGTGTCGTTCACGTGCGTGCGTCCCTCCGCTGCATTGGAAACAAACAACCGCAACGACAGACCAATCGCAGGTCGAGGAGAAGTGTTCGCGCGCGTTGCATGCTGGTCGCGAGCCGGCTGCTTCTATCCGCGAACATGGCGTCGATTGTGATCGTTGACGTAGACGGCGTGGTGGAAGCTCGTCGTTCCGCGTAAAAGCGCTATCCTTGACTGTGAATTTTCGTTGTGTGTTGCTATGATAACCCAGCACATACTAGAAGGGAAGATCCACCTACTCGTGCGGCGATGTTGTGGCGGCACTCTCAAGGCGGCAGAAACGCCCGTGTCGTCGTGTTTGTTTATTTCGACTACAGTAGTGCTTTCTAAGCATTTGTGTTTTCGAACATCGCCCGGATTTCTTATTTGGAGCATTTCATGCGTGTGCTCAAGTTGAAGGTATTACTGGCGCATACCGTATAAAGGATGCAAATTTTCACGCGTTTTCGTCGCTGGAGAAAAGTGATTAGGGTTAGCAATCCTGAACGCTCGCAACGTCCATCCGCAACCCGCGACGCCGTTAAAAGGCTACGCCAGGCAAGCCGCTCATTTCTTTCAAAATGTGTGACACACTTGAGAGACAAGTGTATTAGTTTGGTGAAATAAAGACTTTCCTCAAACTAAGCTTTATTTTTCATCTAATATAAAATAAATTGTTTTACAAAAGTAAGTTGTCTGATGGCGTTTATTTTGGCCTCAAAAATTGATGTTTTGGTTATAGCGCGGTACCGCTTATAGTGCGGATTTTCGCGACTCCTGCGACATACGTTATATGCGGTCTACACTGTACTAACACAGACAATAAAGCATGAAAATCGAGTGTAGTGCAGTCTATGAAACTAGTCAAACGTATAAAGAGTGTGTTTCAACTTTTTACAGCGGAGCTGTTAAGGGCTAGGTTCCCCAGGATCGTGTCCACCAGCAAAGAAATGACACCAAACTCTGGACAGTTACCGCCATCTATGAGCGACGGTGACAACCAGACAACTGGTTGCTGCTGCCGCTCATATATGGCGGCAACCTTTCTTTAGAGGAAGAAGAGCGGGAGTGGAACGTGCAGCGATGTGCGCAGCAGCGCGAGTGGTTCCGTAACTGCCACAGGGCCGCTATCGCCTGAAGTTTCACTGCATTCAGCGCTTCAGATTCCCTAGCCAAAGAAGAGCAGAACGCTCGCCTGGAAAGCCACCGCCGAGAACGGAAGCTACAGCTCCACTGCTCTTCCTTCTTCACCGGAGTGGAAAGGCTGAAAGTTTTTTTTTTTAGCAAAGATACTAAAACAACTAAGTTCCCAATCTATGCTGAAAAAATTCAGACCTCTAGACAAAAGTTAATCTGTAATCCCATTACTGTTCCTTCCAGAACATACAGAGAATTGTTTATCTTTCAACTTCCAAAAAGTACCTGTAACAAATATGCAAAAGGTGACAAATATGAATAATTGTCAGTCACAGTTTACACAAAGTAAATGGAACCTCCAATTCCATTGTAAGTTAGTGTACACTGGACGACCGTATTTCATTAAAAAAAATTGCAGGAGGTACAGTTTGTGTGGGAGCGCCGTCTATACCTGCCATTACTGTTCCTTCCTGCATGTTGCAAGCTGCGGCATCGACTGTGTGTGGCAACATGCAGGAAGGTCACGTCACTGTCCATCAGAACGAAGGCAGCTGTTCTTTGGTATGTTGCCAAGGGTGATCAATCAAGAAAGGAGATAGCCGAAAGCTATGGTGTGAAGGAAAGCACTTGCCACCTTGATTGACAAAAGAGAAAATCGCTGAGGTTCAAACGGAGGAGCATTTTGATGAATCCAGAGAATGGATAAGAACATCAGCGCATCCAGATGCCTAGGAGGCAGTGCTCCTGCAATCAGTGACACGAGAAGCTGCAACTTGCCTCTCGGCAGACCTCTCGTCCACAAAAACGCTAGAGTATTTGCATCCAAGCTAAACGAGCCTGACCTCACTTGATTGGATGGCTGGTTGCAACGATTCGAGTGTCGATGCCGGCTCACGTGTTGCACAATTTGCGGCCGGCGGGCGGATGTTGACCCCTCCAGGGCGTGCAAGTCGTAAAAACGACCGGCTGGGAGACATCTCCAGACTAAATTTTCAATGCAGACAAGACTGCTCTGTCCTACAAGATGCTCCCGGACACGACGTTGGCTTCCGGGGACGATGCGTGCGGCGGCGGAAAGTGCAATGAAGTGCAGCCAACCGTCCTTGTGTAGCCATTGACATGTCGGGCAGTGAGGAGTGTCGCCTGCTTTTTCCAGGGAAGGCGGCACAGCCGCACGGTTTCAAGGGGATCAAAATGTTCCCCGTTGACTATAAACAGCAAATTCCAAAGCTTGGACGACGGCAGAGCTCTTCGAAGAACGGGTTGTGAAGCTGAATCGGAAGATTTCGTCGGATAATTGCGGTACAGCCATGTTCTTCATCGTGGACAACTGCAGTCCTCACGTTGACGTGCAGGAACTGAAGGTGATACATTTCAAATTTTTTCCAACAAATGTACCTGCAATTGTGCGGCCGGAGGATCAGAGAGCTGTCAAGAACTTCCTGTACAGGAAAATGAAGCAACAGATGTACCTCAGCTTTGTAAGTGGCAAAAGCCACAAGATTATCATAATTTGTGCGATGCACATGATCGCTTGTGCGCAGGAGCTGATGAAAGAGGAAACCATCGCAAATAGCTTGAAGAAGTGCGGCTTCATTACCCCTACGGACCTCCTGTCTGCATTGGACGGTGCGAGTGGCACCAACCTGAGTGCAAAAATAAATATTGGGTTGTGGTATGTTTATACAGCCTAGAACTTGCTTCCTAGCTGTAGATAAGCAATTTAGCCAGTGCGGTACAACCACTAGCCTGGGGTTTTTACCGTGCATCATGCAGGAGTGATACACGACCGCACGCCGGTACAATGCCCATCTTGATCAAAACAGGCAGAGGAGGGGGGGGGTTTGAACCCAAGATCCCTGGGTTCTGCAGCGCCTGACCTGAGTGTAGCAGATGCAAGTGCCGCTGGGACGTGGAGCTGTCTTCCACTGAAGGCTCTAGTTTGCTCCCTGTACCAGGTGGCACCTCCTTTCGAGACTTTGTGAACAATGGCAACTTTGTTAACGTCTGCAAACCACTTACGGATGATGACATTGTAGCCGATTTGACTGGCCAAAGGATGAATGCAGGAGATAAAAGCAAGGAGGAGGCTTTCAAAAAAACCCCGAGTGTTGCCGATGTTGAGGAGTGATTTCAGGCCGCAGAACTGTACTTTTCATTAGAGCAAAATATAACGATGCCCTCTGGAGCCTGCTGTTCAATGCGTGTTTCAAGCGTAAACAGCAACAAAGTATCACCAACTACTTCTAATCAAAGTGAGTCTGGCTTTGACTGTCTTTCAGCCTTTTTTTTTTTACATTGAATCGTTGAATAATTTGATACAAATGTTAAGGTGCTGGGGTCCGTGCTGGGGTCAAAGTAACGCAAGTTTACCATAAAAAAAAAAAAAAAATGGCTTGCCTTTTTTTATTGCAACTGCATTGTCCCAGTGTCCCTGCAAGTGCAGCCCAGAGGTGGACGCACTACCCTGGTCACCGGACTGCATGCTTTGACCCACTGAAGTAGGCAGGAAATCCTCAGGCTCTGTTACGGAAGAAAGCCCATCAGCATTAGTTGGGTCAGAAACAAAGCTATGGCAGTCTGTCAAAATCTTTCAAATTGTGCTATAGCTCGAGAATAATAGCACGCATCAACAGAAAAGCAAAATACTAAGGTCGCTGACTGATAGCTTAATAAATGTAGGGCATGATTTACTACGTCCACGCATGATGCTTTGTTCGTCGAAGTTTTTACGAGCTAATGCCACTATCTGATTGGCTGCGGAGTAACATTATGATGCCGGGACTCGCCACCATCTGCGTTTCTTAAGCTAGTAGAGACTCCAAAGGTAAGCAAACTGATTTTTGAAACCGAATCAGTCAAGGGGGAGGGGGGGCATCAAATCGAAAAAGTTTTTGAATAGTGGATAGACTGTTTATAAAAAAAGAGTACTACATTGTCTAGAAGAATAGAGTCCAGTGTCCATGCGGCCTTCTAGAAATGGTTGCAAGAACAGAGGGCTAGGGAAAAATGACTAGAATGGAATGCAAGAAGCGAAAGTATCGAGCTGGTTAGAAAACGTGATAATATAAACCCTGGGACACGGAGAAATAGAATGACGGACAACACTACGCAAAATCTCAAACGCAGCTGGTTTTAATCGAAAGGGAATAGCAGTATAGAGGTGTTCACACGGATGGCTATATATTTTGTCCTCTTGTCCATTATTTTATTTCTCTGTGTCTCGGGAGTTTAGATTATGAGAACTAGACGAAAACTAAAACAATGCTCGTGTTGGCTTTTTTAAGATTGCGGCACACTCGAGGTACTTGGATGAATAGGTGCCAGAGGCTTCTAGATCGCTCGTGCTGAGTGGGAGCACTGCAGCAGCCCATTCCCAATTTATGCTCAGAAACGTTGCCGCGTCATGCTTTTCGGAGGCGTGCAAGTTTTGTGGAAAAGCACACAGTTAAGGCCCGTTCACACTCTTCCAACCGAGTACGACCGAGAGACACGAGACCTGTTGAAACCTCTTAAAATGTCTTAGGACGAGAGAACACACTGGCATTCTGGCGCCATCAATGCGGTGACCCTGGAACTGCATTTCACAAGAGCAAAGGTTTTGTGAGACTTCTGACAGCAAATGTGCAAATACCTATAAGAAAGGCTCACTTATAACATTGACAAAAGTTTTTTGAGCCCAGAAAGAAAGGACAATGCAAGAGAGAAATAGAAAATATGCCGGACCGCCAAGTTTACACTGCTACTTAAAGGGACGCTGACGGAATATTTGTGCTCGCCGAGGTTTTTAGTTGTACGTGACATATCAGAGCCCAACTACTCGGAAGAGAATTTGCGGCTTGAAATTCGGTTTCTTTCCGCGTGAAAACCGCCGATCGAGAACTGGCCGGTTTGAGTCGCGCTCACCCTCTTTTCCGTGGTCACGGGCCGTTTTTTAAGGTGTAGACACGACCACCAAATTAAATCAAAGTCGTGGGTCATTGACAGCACACAGTCAATACTAAAAATAAAACAAAATATAAAACCCATTTTTTGTGGCTTCCAAAAAGCTGCAAATACATTGATCGAAAAAAAGAAGGTTGCACACACAGACAACCGGAAGCATTTTGTGTGTTCACTGCATAATTCTCAACATGGCATCGTTTCGCCTTTCGTGGGACTAGCGGATGGCAGCGAACGACTAGCGTTGGACCTCTATTTCAGAACTGTCGTTCACGGTGTCGACGAATTCTGTCTTCCTTTCGAAAGAGAAATTTTGGACCGATCAAAAGAACTGATATTCATCCCGTACGACACACCCGACCAGCAAGCCGATTGCACGAAGACGTTGCCGAGCCGTTGTCCCTTCTTGTGGCTGAAGATATCGCTCGCTCAAACACCAAGCATGAAGAGCGTACTTCAAGTTGAGTACGCACGCGTACGATTTCTTTACTAGGTGCGAACGTGGCCAATGCATGGTGCTGCCCGACTTCAAGCCGGGAGTGGATGTACTGGGAGGTAATCGGCAGCAAACGACTTTTTGACATACAGTTGACCAGCTGCATTGCTACGAAACAATGAGTTCCTTCAGTAGCTCAGTGAAAAGACGTCCGCTTCACACACAGCGGGCACGGGTTCAGTGCCTAGTATGGCCGTACCATTTTTTTTTCAAACCTTTAGCAATATTTATAATTTTTTTTTTTTTTTACAATTATCACTGAAAAAAAACAATTGTTGCGGAAGATACGTCGTCGCTGAACTAAAGGGTATGGGATTTCATTTTTGACACCTCTGCCGCACAATGCCACTTTCAGATGCAGGACATGCGAGGCAGCTCTTCACGCAACATCTTGGGAGTATTCTTTTCGGAGCCGATCACAAGAATTCACCACGGGCACTCACTACTAATTGCCAACACTTAAATGTACAAAACAACTCATCTTGAAGTACAGAACAGCGAGCGGAACAAACACAACTGCAAAGGAATTGCACGGTGAACGGATCCCGCAACGCATTTCGTCTGCTGCCTTTGGAAGAAAAAAAACAAAACAAAAAAACATTGCATGGTCAGATGCAGCCACGTGACTTGCGCCACTCCCACTCTCTCCTCTCCACTTCTCCGGGCGGTGCGGGGGTTTCGGTTTCGGTTTGGAGCAGTTGCGTTGTTTGACTTCATTAAAGAAATATGTGACTCCGTAGCAAAATATTAATTAGATAGTATTCCAACACCATAATAAATCGCCTGGCAAAAAATGAAAAAAAAAAAAAAATTTGGGGTGGTGTCAGTGTTTTTTTAATAGATGGCGCCAGTGTGTCCTCTTGTTGTAAGAGATATTAAGAGGCTCCAAGACACCTGGTTTTAAGAGGTCACAAGTGTGTGAATGGGCCTTTAAACCCTAGGTGTAGCAGATGAAGGAAAAAGCACAGAAATAAATACAAACTGGTAGTGCTAATGATTGTGCCTAGACATATGGAATGCATGCTACGAGATGACTGTGAAAGGAAAGTTGGAGTGCTTAATAACAATATAAACCTAGAGAACATTCGATTCACAATTTTCCAATTTCGGAAATTATAAGAAAGATATTCAGAAACCTCAGAAAATCATATTCCATTCAAACAATAAATCAATAAAAAAATTATGAATATTCGCATGCCCCTACAAAATGCTCCAGTTGTATACCAAGGTGGCTGGGGACCTGTATATACCCTTTTATTGAAAGCGCCGGAGGGGGGTGCTGTTGGCAATTAAAATTCCCACGAAATGCGTTCCCACGAAACCATCATGTCCGGTCAGACGAGAGGACCAGCAATCCCCATCATAGTATTGCTTCTTGTAACGTTCATGAAATATTTGATGACTTGTTCTCCAGGTGGTTAGCTAAAAGACCAGTTAGCAAGAAATTTGTTGGAGTATCTTTTATTATACAACCTAACAGTAAGACAACCGATTTCCTCTTATATGTTGAGCAGCACGACATAAGGACCTCGCTAAATCCCCAAATGTGTGATTTCCGTAGAACTTAATCATCCCAGAAATTTCATCAAAAGGCTCGGAGAGGCCTGGCCAAATGGAGCCACCGAAAGTCTTTTGGAGGGGGGGTAGTAAGAGATGGCTCTCGTTTGTAAACAGTAAGAGCGTCTATGCTCTTTAACGAGAAATATGTGTGGGGCAGGCCGAGCGATGGCAATCAGAAAACAATGTGAAAGGTGGCTAGCAACGCATAGTCGGCAACTGGACAAGGACCCAGCAGATGTTCCAACTCCATCATACACCTGTTGCCTTCGGCCGGGCTTTGGCTGCGCGTGCAACAAAGCGCCGTCAAAGGCAGGAAGCTTGTGATCGAGGCAGAGCGTCTAGTGGGTTTTTAACCCTTCACCAACTATAGAATCTTCGACTGCGCAGCCTACAAAGTGGCTAGAGTAGTGGCACAAGGAGCTTGCCTTTCTTCGCAAGAACGAGGGTCGTCTGGCCCACATTCGGGTGCTCGTGGGAGAAGTACGGTTCATCGGCGTTTGCACAGTCCCAGCTCTCGGAGGTCGAAGCAGACGAGGACTCTTCAGCCGGCTCTGTCGGACGGAGGACGACAGAAATTTGGAATATTGGAAACGGGCACAAAGACACACCCTTCATCGACACTGGCCAGAGGAAACGGCCAATATTTTCTTTGTTCGGTGCACTCTCCAAAGCACGGCAATGTTGGAATTTTCCACATTCCACTTGTTAATGCCAACGAATTAAACGGGCTAGGACAGAAAAATAAAATGAATTGATTATTCTTGAGATGGAATACATACACCAAATTTTGCAATTTTTAGTGCTCTAGGTAATTGCAATAATCAATTCACGAATTTTAATCATTTTCATCTGGTGACCAGGCAACACTGCCCAGTTAGTCACACCTACGGTGCCCATTAACCATGTAATCATGAACACTTTCTCATTCAAGGCAACCCCGTGATCGCCCAAGCTTGCCTTGCCACGGTGCGATTGAAACCGCTCACGCAACTCGGCAACCCCCAACGCTATTCTCACTCTTGCCCCAGCCCCGTGACATTCCACCCTGCATGTGTCTGCGAAACTCTTCCGGACGACGGCGACCAGGGCGAGCTCGTCCGTGACTGGCTGTCGCTGGAGCTGGTCGCCAGCGTATCGCAGTCAAAATGAACAGCTTCCAACATCTCTTGATAACAATCACTCTCATCGCTACTGCAATCAGCGCCAAAGACTTCGACGGAGCGAGCGATGCCATAGACATATCGTCACAGACTGCGTGCTCGAAATATGGAAGGTGAACGAGGAAGCTGAAGCTCGAGACGCCAAAAGAGCCAAGTCTGCGAGTGCTTGCAAGGGGACGCCGCGCGGTTGGCTGGTGTCGACACCAGCCCTCCAGCCATGGCGGCCTTTTTGAGTGGGGCAGATCCGAGGGTCCCGCATATAAATCAATTTATCCACGAAACCATCATGCAATTTTCAAAACAAATTTAGCAGGATTATAGGAACCTACAATGGGTCCTAACTCTATAGTCATCTATAATTTTATTTTTGGCGTATCCTGACCCTTTTAAAGGACAACTGCGGTAAATTTTTTAAAATCTGGAATTACAACTGTATTTTAGCTCAGTCAAGGTCGCTGAATTATAAAGTATAACTTTTTTTTTTATGTTGTGCATAATTTTATAAAAATGACGACTCAAAGTTTGGTTTCGGGCGTCTGCGGCGAAACCGAAACTATGAGCTCGAGAGGGATGGCAACACTGATATCAGCCATCAGTACTGCGGCGCGCGGCACGTGCGGAATCGTCCTCAGGACCATTGCGACGCGACGTGACGTGACGTCACGGTGGTGCTGCGATACACATCGCCCAGTGTTGCTCGGCTAAAAGCTAACCCGCTTGCCACTTGCTAAGCAGCTGGTCAGATCCTTAGAATCGGTTTTAGCGGAGCATGCGGCTTCACTCGTGATACTTCAGCTGCGATCACATTTCATGCCACTGAAGCTATACAAGTCATTTATTTTGCTTTCGTTCAGCTGCGCGAAGGCTATTTCACACATCTTCGTTCGGGTGTGAACGGCCGCGTTACAACTGCCCGGGATTGCTTACGGCGAAAAATTACACCAGCGCCCTCTATAGGGCAGCCCCGGAACACTTGTGAGCTGCGCATATTTTACGTGCCCTTCTTTCACCGTGCTCAATATGATTCGGACAACGTCATGGGACCGATTCTGATAAACAGGGCCTAGAAAAACTTTCAGTACAGTTACATGCAGGTAGGAGGTAGTCCAGGCCTGCCTGCTAGACGGCGCCAGCAGTCGACATGCAGCATGTCATACGCAAATGCAAGTGTGCGAGCCAGCCTTAATCGGCGAGTTTACCTTGTTTAATTGCAATAGGTTCATCCCATCGTCCCTCCACGTGCAGGTTAAAAACAGGCATCCCATCACAGTCCTCCGGCTCTTCTTCACCCTCATCCGTCGGTGTGGGTAGTATCTCCTCAGACTCTGTTAAACGAGACAGCGGAATGACATTGACAATACACTTTTGCCTCCTTGCCGGGAGTGATGAAACATCATGCAACAGCCTCAAATGTAGACGCAGAAAATCATATTTAATAAAACGGGGAAAAAGAAAGAAAACTTGTGAGATTTGGTGGGCCATGTGTTCAAGAAGCGAAGGTAAATGAAGTGAGCGAGGGTCGATATGGTAGAGGGAGTGCAAATCTGCCAGCAGTTGTGTAACGGTAGTCTGGTTTATCCGAAAAGGTCACTGTCCGAAGCTTCCTTGGACCAGATGTGATTGGGCACGTATCTCATAAAGGCGGTGGGCAATTGACAAAGGCAGACATCTGCAAATAGACAATATTCTGTTCTTCCCACTTATCACACAAACAACAGGGGCCTAAGCCGCTTCTGGAGTGGGAGATTTAGAAATCTCTATGAATTGGACCCCCAAATCACTTCAGTATAAAAACATACTGCAACAGTTGGATTACCTTGACTACACTCTTACCGTCACAACACTGCACACACAAAAAACGTTTTTTACAAAAAATATTTTAGGCAGGAAACGAAGCGAATTTTACATTGGGATTCAGCAACTTCAACAAGAGAGCACAGGCCCGTTGATCTCGGGATTCAAACCCGCCACATGGGGATCCATAGGCTGGCACTCTGGCCTCGGAGCCACCGAGGCGGCTACTGCATCAATATTTAACCCTCCGATGCTTGTTAAAACCATATACCTATGATTAAAACTGTTTCTCGCAACCATTGCTAGGGAATTCTTTTCGGCTTATGGTTTGTCAAGAGAGCATGTCAAGCCCTCTCTCTGCGTCTGGCGCACGCCCTGGCTCTGCCTGTGCCTCCCATTGCCCAAACTCCTCTATTCGCGACGAGATGCTTTGGTGGCACCACCTCCCAGCCGCCCTCCTGTGACGGAGCTGGTGGGATGTGAACAGACACCGCGCCATGTCAAAGCCCAGAGTGGCTATGTTAGCTCGCATCTATGCTGATCAAAAACGGTTTATAATAAAGAAACGTGTACATAGTTTCTTGTGAGTGATCTTTCAAATGAATAACAGCACCTCGAAGTTTGTTCAAAATGTTCAAAGGCGAGCCTGGAGCTCCACATTACAGCTTGCGCGGCGTGCGTCAGTCCTACTCACAGCCTCTCTGGTATTTCTTTCCGAATCTCTGGAGGCTGTTTTAGAAAAAGGTTTTGCGTTCAGCAGAGTAAATGATGTGCTGCCTTCTTAGCTGTGCACGCGTGCACAGTTGTGTTGCAAAGCGCCGCACACTTGCTTTCGCTAAAGTTCCTAAATGAGAGCTTCCTACAAGTAGCGACATTCTTTGAAGCACCGACTATGTGACGGTGCCGGTCTTAGAAAGCGAACGGCGGCACACACCAGAGGACTGAACTGAATGACGTCGTTTTGTTACAGCGGAATGTGCTTTGTCATTTGTATTGGCTGACGTTACTTGTAAAATAGAAACATAGAGGTACTTTAGTTTTAGCAACATTGAGCTTGACGATACCGATGCCTCTCTATCCAAGTGGGACTCAACAGTTGCAGCAACTGACGCTTAGCTCCTCCCACATCGAATATGTGGCAAAAAAGTGTCACAAGGCGACTTTTGCTTAAAAGAAAAGCAGAAATTTTTATAAATTCTTTAATTATTGCACATTGTCCACCGAATTCAGGTGACTGATTAATTTGTTCTATTCAATTTTTACTAATAGTTTACAAATATAAAATCACTCCCTGAGAAGCGCATCAGGCTGTCAGCATCAGTAATAAATCGTTCAAAAATAATGATGCAGCTTGAGGCTTCAGCGTCTTATAGAACATTCCTTTCAGCTTTGTTATTTGTATTGCCTTTTTTCATAACCTCCGTGAGCAAGCATATCTCACTTTACATGATAGCGAAGTCAAAGCTACATGCGAGAGCATGTTCCCTGAACAATGTTTGCACTGTGCACACGCGCATGCTTGGCACGGACACTGAAAGCTCGGTCAGGCTCGGTGCTCAATCGCTCTTGTAGCCTCTGCTCAGTCGAAAAACGTCCCTGCTGCGGCTTATTAGCATGTAACTAACGGATAACAAATGAAGTTTTAATAAAATTACGGTGTCTATGCAGTTCACCTTTTTGCATCTTCACCGAGCGATTGGCGTCGTCCCGTTTCCCCGTGCGGTTAACGGCAGTGGGCACGAAGTCAGAGTCGTTCTGGAAGGTTGATGGCCGCCCTGCAATGGACCTTTTGTAGAAACATCGGTTCGAGAGCAAATGGTTCCAGTACCCTCTCTCTCTTCCTCCCGGCCGAGCAGAGAGGGAAGGTGGTTTCTTTGTGTCGACTTCAGGGCAGAAGATTACGATGGGGACAAAGGTGACGAAAATAATCCCTGGAGAAGGGGAACAAGAGGGACAAAGGACAAACACTAATCTCCAAACACAGCTAGGTGTCCTTCGTCCTTTGTCCCTCTTGTTCCCCTTCTCCAGGGATTATTTTCGTCATGCTCGTCCAGCTCGCTTGCAACCTTTGCATTTAATTGCATTATAATTATAACAAAGGTGAGTTTGGGGGAGCCGTATCTCGGTCACAGCGCCTCAATGGGTGAACAGGATGTAGATGACGTTTTGGGTGTAGAAAGGGTGTGAGAGGCCTTGGGCGCGCGTTGTTTTCTAGCCACCAAGTCTCGAACCGAGTAGCGTGTCTAGGTGGCAGCACATATTCACCAAGAGGTCAGCAGAAACTCGCCAGCTCTCAAGACCGACGCACCTGCGACAAAATCCACGCTGCAGATCTCGCACAGCTCGTTCGGCTGACACGGCGAGCCATCTGGATTTGTTCTACTCGCGACAGCTATCCAAGCTTCTCTTTGCGGGATATTTTTTGGCGCTCTTGACCAACGGAATATCTGTCGTTCGCTTTATGGCTTTACACTGGCATGCCGACAAAACAACGCGACCGCGGTGACCGCTTTTTCCCCGCGCAGCGCAAGCACGTCTATTTGTTTTCCAACCTTCTCCCACCGGACGGCCATCGTCAATGCAACGAAATCGCGTCTTTGCGAGCGTTGCACAGGCTGGCGGCAGCGTACTGAAGACACGTTTTCTACAAAGTCGGCGTTATTCGCAGAAGTGTCTTAAACCCCCGTGAAAATGGTGAGACTTACCTTTGAAAAACGTGGAAACGTGGAATTTTACAGAAGCGCAGCGCTGCAGAAAAAAAGCATAACTCGTCGGCAGCAAGTTTTGCCGGTCTGGCGTAATCAAAGCTTCTTTGGCACGCCGAAGTGCTGCGTCTGTACGAGGGGGAGAACGGTGTGGATGCGCAGCAGCAACGCAAAAATCGATGGGTTTGCTCGGTTTGCTAATTCCCAGTTCACACGGCATCCACGAAGTGAAAACAAACAAAGTGGATTGGATTGTCTTGTTTTCTTGCGCACCACACAAATGGTTTTGCCCGTAATCCAACTTCCTGCCGCAGTGAGAGAGTGCAGGCGAGCTGGTAATCGGTAATCAAACGTCATCTTGTAAACCCCATAGAGATCCTACATACTAACTGTAAACCCTGAGATGGGGAACGATAAAAAACGGACGAACACAACAAAATCTCAAACGCGCCTTTATTTGGGTTTTGCGCTGGCATCAACCTTGTCTTTTCTTTTTAACGGTAGGTTAAATGTTGCGCAATTACGTTACAATAAATTACGCAAATTACGTTTCTTTTCGACAGGAGAAGAGTCACACACACACCATTGCTACACACCTTTAGCCATATCTATCCACAGCCACAGCCTTGAACGTTTTTGTGCCATTTTTAATGTTTCGAAGAGTTCGCTTGCATGACGCACCTGACCGTGACGCATCTCGCCGTGACGCGCCTCATCGTCGGCCACCGTCAGCGACATCTTGGAAAACAGGTGCGTCTCGCAAAGCGTCCGTGCCCCTCGGATCGAACCGGAGTCCTTTGGATCACCGAAACGCGAAGCAGGTACAGCAGAAAGTCGAGCAGACGCCGCATCGTTTTTAACCGAATACAGTGTCCCGGTGTCCTAAAAACCGCCTTGTTAAGCGTGAGATCGTGCTCCCTTATTAAACACACTGCATGGCTCCCTCGAGACAGTCGTGTGCCGAGCGTAGCCGCGCTTAAAGAGAAAGAAAGAAAATGAAATCTGCGTCTGCGATTGAGAAACCTGATTCAGATTCGCAGCAAGCGATGGAAGAACGCAGGAGTGCAGCCGCGCATCGGAGCAGACGATACCGCGAGAGAAAGAAATGGAAAAAGCTGCAAGAGGCCTCGCCAGCGCAATCGCCCGCTTCCGAGAAAGCAGAACTAGAGCGAGCAATCGAACAACGCAAGATTGCTGCTGCCCGGAGCAAAGCCTACCGGGAGAGAAAAAAGTTGAAGATGCAAGGCACCCCTCTAGTGCGACCGCCCGCTTCTGAGAAGACAGAACTGGAGCGAGCAACCGAACAACGCAAGATTGCCGCTGCCCGGAGCAAAGCCTACCGCGAGAGAAAAAAGTTGAAGATGCAAGGTGCCTCTGTAGCGCGACCGCCCGCTTCTGAGAAGACAGAACTGGAGCGAACAACCGAACTACGCAAGGTTGCCGCTGCGCGGAGCAAAGCCTACCGGGAGAGAAAGAAATTGAAGATGCAAGGTGCCTTATTAGCACAACTGCACACTTTTGGGGAGACAGATGAAAACAGACAGCGAGCAGTCGAACAACGCAAGGTTGTCGCTGCGGAGCGGAGCAAAGCGTACCGGGAGAGAAAGAAATCGAAGATGCAAGGCGCCTCGTTGGCGCTAACGTGCACGTTCGAGAAGGCGGACGAAGACAAACAGCGCGCAGTCGAAGTTTGCAGGATTGTGCATGCTGCGCAGTGGGAAAAGGCTAAGTGCGAAAGAAAACAACTGCAGTTGCAACAGTTCACATTAATGCAACCGTCCACTTCGGAGTCCGCTTCGGAGTGGGCGGAAGCAGAATTGCGGCGAGTGCTCGAAGAGCGCAGGGCCGCTGCACGGCGAAGCAGAGCGTACCGCGAGCGAAAGAGATTGAAGTTAATGGATGCTGCGTCGGTGCGACCGCCCACACTTTCCGAAGACTGCAGTGGAGCTCTCCGCTTTGTTTCACGGCCAAAACGACGGTGGAACTGCACTTTTGCGGTCAAAGAAGGTGAGCTTGTGTGAAATTCTCCTCACAACCGTAGATCCCATTCAAAAGCGCGCCCTCTGGTAGCAGGTGTGCCAGTCACCCGAGTTCGCCGTTGCCTGGGAACGTTCTCCGAGCATGTACCAGACACGAGGGCCATGTTGACATTCAGCAAGGTGTCGGATTCAGTGCGCACTTGGTGCCCGAAAAACGGCGGCCGCCAACGTTACGGGGTTTCGAAACGGATCTGTCATAAGTCGTTCGGGAGACCTTCTGATTGCAGAGGCATAGCTCTAACAACCCCACTTAGTGCGAGAATATTAAAAGTGCCGAGGGACGAGTACCGAAAAAGAACGTGAACAGTGCGCTAGTAGTCATTGACTGTGTGTGAACGTCAAGGAGGTGTTTCAAATAGTCCCGTCTCCAGCGCAAGCTTCCCACCTTCGATGACGCTTCGTCGTCTCGTGAGCCTAGAGCATGCACGCATGGCCAAGGCACGGAGGAAAGGCAGCAAGCATCTGCTGGAGGCTGGGTGTTCGAAAAGGATGCCATTCCGTTCTCAGTGACCGAAACGGCTGAACTTCAGTGTGAAAAAAACAGAAACGTGTGCCTTCTCGTCGCAGCGATGACGCAGTGTTGCGTCTTCATTGCAACGAGAAAACGCATATCAATTCCTTTTTTTTTTGTTTTAAAGTTTAGTTGTCAGTAAAGCACGATTCGTACTCTTCCAACGTACCAGCAAGCCCGTTTTTCCATCCTACTGTCCTCATTATTGTTGGCATCACGAAAGTGGGCAACCATACTAGTCCCGCATCTTGAGAGAGCACGGTGCCGACGAATGGAAAAATATTGGAAATATGAGCTATCTGTTTGGGCCGGTGTTCACTAAGTGTGCGACTCCTTGCCTCTTTTAAACAAAGAGGATGGAGCGTTGACGCGAGGCTTGCTTTGCACTCCTTCTGACAGAAGCCCAAGAGGCACCTGTTATTCCATACGGTGAGAGCTGCCATTGTGGACGTATCGACGGCTCGACCTGTTCCCGTGAGCGCCCGAGTGCAGACCCCGCAACCGGCATTGCAATGAAGGAAGGCAAGCTCTTCTCGTCCCGCAGCTTTAGGTGCCCCATAGATTGCGCGAGCAACTGTAATTGGCTGAACATTGAGGCAGAAGGGTGCGTGATGCATTCTCTGTTTTGTGCAATACGTCGTCGACGCTTGTGAAGCTTGCACAATGCTGCGTCCCCGCACTGCTCTGAGGGCATGTGGCTTCTTGCGCCTCATTTGCATGGGCCCGTGCAACTAGCCTTGATGAATTCGAAGCGCTGCAGAAGTTACGCTGGCCTCAACAACGTATCACAAAAATAGTGACATTGTGTATAAAGGCCCTTTACACACTTGTGACCTCTTGGAACCGAGTGCCTTGGAACCTCGTAATATCTCTTACAACGAGAGGACACACTGGCGCCATTTATTGGGTAGCAGTGTAAACTTGGTGGTCCGGCATCTTTTCTTTTTTTTTTCTCGCAATATCCTTTCTTTCTTGGCTCAAAAAACTTTTGTCAACTTTATAAATGAGCCTTTTTCATAAGTATTACGCACATCTGACCTCGGAAAGCATGCAAAACCTTCGCTCTTGTGACATGCAGTTCCAGGTTCGCCGCATAGATGGCGCCAGCGTGCCAGTGTGTTCTCTCGTCCTAAAAAATTTTAACAGGTTTCAACAGGTCTCGTCTCTCTCGGTCGTACTCGGTTGCAAGTGTGTGAACGGCCCTTACGGCTATTACCGGAAAATGTGTGCCGGTCAGTTTATCGAATCTCCTTTCACCTAATTGTTGGACACTGTTTCACCGAAGTTTGTGAAACGAATTGGGAAGGATTGCAGTGTTTTATAAGCAGTGGCTTTATATATTATTTGGACGCCACTATCGAGTCATCAAAATAACATATTGCTATAGCCTGTTGCAACTCAAAAAGGGTCCTCTCCAGCGTTTCATCAGCTTCCTCCTCCCCGGTCTTCCTTTCCCTTGACCTACCTTCTTGAGTTGCAACGGACTCCACATTCATTGTCTTTTACTTGAATGACAGCATATACGCTCCGGATAGCAAAAATGGACTAGGACAGTTTCGACATTTGAATATGTTTTCACTGCTCATCTGATTCACTGGAATGTTTCTGCGCTTTCTCGCTCAACAGAGCCCGAGGAGGTGCTGTCTATGCCGTCGTTAATGGTCAACACTTCCACGATAAAAAAAGGTAAGCTGTTCTGGTTGCGGCGACATGGTTCCAGAAGGACCTTTCTTTTCATTGTCGTTACGGAGACGAGCCAGAACTTGTGTTTCTATGTTCTGAGAAAGCCTTAGATACCTTAGAGGCACGTTGTTGTCACAAAAATATTGTGTATTATCTTTGACAGAGCTCGGTGACATGTCTGGTGTGAAAAAGATATAGTTCTAGAAAAATAATGCTAAGGCCACTATTCCTACATAAGGTTGTTCCTTTTCGGGTAAAACCCGATTTTACCCGGTTTTTACACCCCGAACATGTTTCAGGAGAATCGGGTAAAACCCGATTTCTCCCCGAATTCCAAAACCATGTAATTGACCTATTTATTTTTACGCCGCACGGAGTTTGTCGTGCACACACGCTAGTTACCCTACCTCGGGACCACAGTAACCTATAGTTCATTTCGCAAGCTGCGTGTAGTACTGTGGACGCTACACGGCTGTCAACCAACCGCCCAAGGAGCGCGCCTAACTTCACCGTGAGATTCTACGGAGGCCGGCTGAAGAAAAGCGACAAAAGGTGTTCGGCACGCCACGTAGCTTCGGCCTGCTGCATGCAGCTTGTGAAATGCACTATCAATCCCCCTTTGACCGCTGTTAGGTGTCGACGCCCAGCCAGTTCTCTCGGGTAGCATGGCCATCTCGCTGGCGGTCTACCTTTCTCACGTACAACGTCCGAGCCAGTCAGTCCTGGTGAGCAGATCGGGGAAAACTTGACAGGTTTATTCCCTAGCGAAATATCTGATCGAAGACGACCGCTCCTCAAACGGTCCGGGTTTTTGTTGATACCTGAGGGAAAGGAGGACTCCCTGAGTGGTACTTCCCATGAAGCAACCGACGGCAAGCTTAACGTTCGGGAATGGCAAAACGACGATTATCTCCCACACTCGAATGCTATAATAGGGTGGGAAGCCCATGATACCTTCCAATAAAAAAAGACAAAAAGAAAGAAAAATGAATGTATTACTTTTTATATTTGTAAATTTGACCCGAAAATACCCGATTTTCGAAATATTTCTAGAAAAAACCCGATTTCTCCCCGATTATCAGCTTGAAAAATAGCACCCGATTTTTACCCCCCGAATTTGAAAAAATATAAAACCCGAAAACAAACAACCCTATTCATACAGCAGGGTTTGTACAGTTTACTGCCTTTTACGGACGTCTCAAAAATTAAGTTTAGACAGTCCACTGCATACACTCATTTTGTTAGTGCTTTATATGTTATGATCACAGCACACATAACTTATTTGTTGTTGAGGTACAGAACAAACTAATTTATGGAGCGTTAAAAAGAAAAATAGACATGGTATTATGCTCGGCACCTGTCTATGTCCGAGGCGCAGTTCTTGGAAATGATGGTGCTGATCGGCCAACAAGTTTTGCTAGGAATCGACAGGTAGATGTGTTCAAAGATCTTTAAGGGTACCGTGAAACAGTGCACAGCCCAAAAGTGTCTAGTCAAGCGAGACCAGGAAGATAACAGCATGCCACACATAGTGAAACCACCAAAGGGGAGAGTGCATGGCGTCGTGGGCATTTCTACGAAGCATAAAAGCAGTAGAGTACTCGCCAATGGCCTGCTCTTTTGGCAGTCTGAAGAATGTCTGAAGTGTGGCAGCATAGGTCTCTGGCTGTGGCAGCTCTGTGCGCCATCCTTTGCGGCGCTTCATAACTATGCACAACTCCTACAAAGGTGTGACCTATGTACCACCATTTATAAGGGGGGTGTAACTTATACAGCGGTGTGACTTATAGACCGAAACGTGCGGTAGGCGGTGTTGTTTTCCGGCGATAAAAGGTGCCAACGTCCTGCTCCTCCTTGCGCAGAGCCGCCCGAGTCGGCCGACTCTCAGGTTGAAGACGAGGACTCGTGCTCGGAATCCCTGGACCCTCTGGCATTCCTGCAAGTGCAGTTGGAGGAATCCTGGGTGGGCGGCCCTCCACCTGTGACCAAAGGCAAGCTCCTGCACCCCATCTATTATCGGAGATACGGTGCCCGACAAAACAAAATAGACCGGCGGAGCGCGTGGCCTTGCTAGAGCAAGTGCATATGCTCCACTCGAGGAGCACGTGCAGTTTTGCTAGTGCAGAGGTTCTTGAGCTTTCTGATCTCGAGGAACCTCTGTCGCTCTTGACCGTTAGCCGAGGAACCACCTTGTGGTCATGACATTGATGCAGTGAAGCAGTGCTGGAGCCTTCAAACCTTGTAGACAATAATGCCCATTTGGCTCATAGTTGTACATCGATGAATGGCTCAGATCTGCTAAAATAGCGCTCAATCGGTTAAATGATCTTGCTTCCGACAAGAATGGTGAAGCAAATTTGGGAGGTCGGGGAACCGATGAGTGTACCCCAAGGAAACCTCTGGGTTCCTTGGAACTTATTTTGAGAACTGATGCTCTAGCCGGTTACTTTAGGTTATAGTTAGTCTAGGCGTCGCTAAAGTGACTGTATATGTGCAAGGCCAGGCACTTTGCTAGTCTGTTTAGTTTTGTAGAGCACTGTACTTTACTGTTGAAGAAGGCAAGGATGATTCCCGGTCTTCCATGTGGCGGCTTGGCAAAGTTGGCGGACACAAATCAAACTTTTTTTTAAAGTGAAGCATTCTTTGGCTACGTGTTTGGCATTTCGTGGAGCCCAGATAAAAGCGTTGCCGTGAGGCTCGACACTGATTGGTTGACGGGTGGGAGAGGAGGAGTGAGATGGGCGAAGAGGTCGACCACTTGTGCACACCTGGGGGAGAGAAGCTCGAGAGTATGGAAGGCTCTGGAAGATTGCCAGGTTTATCAGCCCCGTTAGCGGTGGCATCGCTTCATTCTACGAACAACCATCAAGTGTGTACACGTGGTACACATTAAACTACCCGATGATGAGCGCCGTGAACGGAGGCGTCTGGCGTCTGGAAACTCGGAGTATCACTAAACGTGTCTGAGCAAGTGCTGCTACTGCTATACCAGGTAACTTAGGAAACTTGTATTATGTCCTTTAATAGATGTCGTTTACACAATTTATTGATTTTACGTTGATCAATGTAGCTGTTACCTTTTAACTGCTTTTAAGCACTGTTTGCTTTTATGTTTCCTCTCAGTCCAGCCACTCTCAGTGCTTGTTTTATCCACTGGTTTTGTACCATGTGTCACCGATTACAGGAGTGCAACTGAAATATAATAGGCTAATCTGTAATGGATATATTTTGTGACATGAGCACTTTGCAATGAGCAGCGAAGCCTGTGTGCATGGTTGTAACTTGCTTCTCTCGTTTTCGTTCTGCTTTGCACATGTTTTCTTCCTATTCCTACAACAATGTGCCACGTTTTATGCTTAGTGCTGTTTGTGAGAATATCAGAATAATAATAATGATTATTATTATTTTTAATACTTTACCTGAAGAAAGAACACTTGGTCACCGTATTGGCACAACTTTTCCACAGACCGTTCTACTTTGTCTAGTCCTATGCACACCCATGCTCTTGTTCTGCGGCAGTCCAGGATTTTTTTTTCTCTGTGTGATCATCTTTTTCTTAAATATCGACAACATCTGTGTTTTGTTGTCTCCAACAGCGCCAGATGAGATATTGCCCACTTCTGCGGTAGACAGTCGCTGCACAGATGACAGCGGTGACATGTCACCTTCCCTGCAACATTGGGGGAGATACTGGAAGGACTGCATGGTAAAGAAAGGTAGGCTCGACTGCAACAGAATTCTTGTGTCTCCAACATACTGTATTTCTCGGTCTATAAATCACTCCCCCATAGATGGCCGTTTTTACATCGGCCCATACCTTCGGGATTATCTCTCGATATGTCCAGTTTGCCAAGCTCATTGAAAGCCTGGTACAGAGCCCCAGCTACACACGCCACTCCCAAACTACCCATGGGAAGTGGTTGGAATGGACCTCTTCTACGAAAACGGAGAGAACTTACTTGTAGTGGTGGACCATTTCTCAAGGTTCTTCGAACTCGAGAAGCTCAAGAGGACGACGACCCAAGACATCACGCAGACACTGTTGCAGAATTTCAAAAGTTTGCGAAGGAGTGGGGATCACGTCATGTCACGAGCAGCCAGTCTTGGGCAGTAACTGGTCACTAGTAACAAGTTACTGGTTACTAGTTACTTTTTTAGTAACTTGTTACTGTAACTCATTACTACTTAGTGAAATAACTTGTAACAATAGCAGGGTTTCTATTTTTCTAAAGTAACTGTAAAGAGTAATGTTGTTATAGTTACTTCTCAGATTTACGTTCAAAAATATTGCTAACACGACCACCAAATCGTCTTGCAACTCGTGAGAGAGTCCCAAGTCCTGATACTGGAAGGGCACAGCAGAAATTGCTGCAGAAACCGTCTGGAGCACGAATGGGAAAAGAAAGAAAACAAAAAAGGAACTATACCCGTTTTCACCTCAAGAAGCGTTGTAAAAAAAGTTCGTCTTCTGGCGGAGAATTGCCAATTTCCCCTTTTATGTTGATAATTAAGATATATGTAGGATAATTTTAAACTAGATATATATTGTCTTATCAAATTGAAAAGTCCATCTTCTCGCGGAGAATTGCCAATTTCCCCTTTTATGTTGATAATTAAGATATATGTAGGATAATTTTAGACTAGATATATATTGTCTTATCAAAACATACACGTTCCAAACGCCAAAATCAACGCATTTTCCTTCAACAGCCAAATCTTGTAAGAACTACTTTGCGCCGCGTATGAACAATGCACAAAAATTGCTTTTTTCTTGAGGTAAAAATGAGTAAAGGTAAAGTTTGGCTGACCTTGCTTGGCCAAGCTGGTCCCGCCAACTGGGAGGATGGGGACCATTGTGTCCGTACCCTTTGGGTATTGTACATCTCCCACAGCGCACGCATATGTAACAAAGTGCGGCATCTCTAAAGCGTTTCTCTTTCCTCCGTTTGGCGGAAAGAGCGAGTGCTTTTCACGGAGGAAAGTTTTTGGTGATTGCCGCCCCAACCACCCGCAGGCTTACGGCACAACCAATTTTCCGAACATAGTCTTTTTGCTGCCAAGCATGCACCTCCTTCCCCTCTAATTTGAATCATCCAACTCACAGATGCACTCTTATGAGGTCTCGACTTTAGGCCCATGTGCTCTCCCATTTTTCTCTCATTGCTCTGCTTCTCTGGTCTTGTCAATTGAAAAAGAGTATTCGCTCTAAATGTCTGTGATGTTCTGCTTGTTCGTGTGTTTTCTTGAAACTGAAAGACTGCCTTTATCCAGGACTAGGGGCACTTGGCATCAGTTGATTTATAGATATTCACGTTGTGGGCCTTCCGGGTGGTATCTTCTAGTTGGGGTGGTGAGACGGAGGAACACAAACATGTCCCATCTGGTTAGGAAGCGGCGGAGAAAAAGTTGCAACAGCCGTTTGGAATTCTACATGCAGTGGTCATTTGTACCTCGATCAGTGCTTCTTTTGCACCGCTGCCGCATTCAGCGGGTTTGACAGAGAAATGATGCCGCAACATTGCTCTCCAAGTTTTCAAGAGAAGCTTTGTGTTTTATGAAAGATGGTGCACTCGCAGTAGAAAACAATTAGGCCGATGAGTGGATTGAAGTAGCATCAGAAAACATCTTCAAAGCTGATTGTAAGGTATGAATTAGATGATTATTGACTCCACATTTACACAATTTTTATTGCTTTCATTCCATTTGGCCTCACCGAAGAAATTCGAAATTATATTTGACCGATTGTAAACTCGCATTAGGATTTGGTGTACCCGAGATCTAGACGCATGCTGTTGTGTTCGTGTATACTTTATGGTGGTCGCGCTTATTTGAAAGTTCTTCATGTATCATTAGCAGGTATCTGCGAGCTTAAAATTTTGAAAGACTAAAGTCGCCTGTAATTTTGCCAAAGAATAAATTATAAATGATTTATCATGTAGTGAATTTATCCCAATACTGTCCTAAATTATGATCTTGTTCAGGGAGCTATCATTATAAAAATTGAAATAGGAAGGATCAAACATGTTTATATTGAGTATTGTGTGCTAAGGCATGTTTTCTGTGCTAATTTAAGGGTACATTAAGAAAGGTTTTTTTGGAATGTTTCCTAATATTTTTCTAAAGTAACGACGAAGTAACGGCATTACTTTAGCAAAGTAACTAAATGCAACAAGTTACTCTCAATTTTGTAACTGTAGCAGAGTTACTTTTTCCCCTTGGGAACTGTAACTGTAACACTTACATTTGATCACTAACGTGCCCATGACTGCAAGCAGCCCATAGCATCCTCAAAGTAACAATGCCGTCAAGAGAACCGTAAAGACTGCAAAGCAGCTGCTCAAGGAGTCACTTGACATCGACCAAGCACTGCTGACGCACCGGGATACCACAGCAACTGAAGGGTACTCCCCAGCCGAATTCCTAATGGGACAGCAGATATGTACCAATGTACCAGCCATGTCCAGAGAGTTCCAACCACTGCAAAATTGTCGGCCGTTCTGGTAAAGGAGTCTAGCCTGCAAGGCCAAGCAGAGCGCACAATACGACACTCGTCACAGGGTCGGAGGAAGAGACCCCCTACCTCCGCACACAGCTGTGGGGGTTCTCTCTGGCGCAGCCACAAGTGGCATAGTGTTGCAGCCTGCTCAATCTCCACGTTTATATGTGGTGGACACGACCAGCGGCACCAGGCATCGCACCAGCTGTCATCTGCAGCCTGGACTAGTTGCCACAAGAGGTGGACGACAAGCAAGACCTCCCAGTCGCCTCGACTTAAAGAAGCAAGACAGTGAGACAACTTGAAAGAAAGGGGGGTGTTGTGAGTGCCACAGCTCACAGATGGCGCCACCAGGTTGGCAAGACTCCAGAGCAGCCACTTTCGTCGCGGGCGGTCTTCTGGTTTGGGCACTCGACTCGACAAGATGTCAGAACTTGTAATCGTTGCCTTATTACACCCTTTATATCGTCTGTGAACGTGACAAAACCGAAATATCCAGTATTGGAGGCGCACTTGAATAAGAATTGATCCAAACTATACGGGAAGAAAATTACTATCTACAGTTTTTTTTTATATCGACCTGGAACACACCTGATAAAAAGACTGCAAGACTGCTTTTTTTTTTTTTTTTATGGAACTGTACACCCCTTACCTTGCTTCCTTGGCTTATCGGTGTCTGGTAATTTTCAGAGTATTTTGGGGGTTGATAAGTCCTTCGCCCGTGTCCCATATCTTCAACGTAAACCCCGACAAACTCCGAGTTTTTATCTAATACCAACAATTGAGCCCAAAAGATGCCAAATGTTTTTGTTAAAAAATACAGAAAACACAGAACCATAGTCATAGGCTCGGGTTGGAGTTCCCTGTAGCATATTTTCCCCTGATTTTCTTCAACTTTTTTTTATAGAGCTAGACGATGAAGATGGGAGTTTGACGTGCGAGGGCTTGGAATCTGGAGAATCTCACACCCTGTCCACTTCTCACAAGCCTGCAAGTGAAGCTCAGGCAGCCAACACGTTTGTGAAGCAAGGCAAGTTCTTTGTGCAGCCCTTCCCTGTAGATCACCCAGGCAGTGTACGGTTGTGTGCCTCAACTGCCATTGTTGAGATTCTATTAAGATGTTAGGCTTTTCATGCCAGTCTCACTCTACACTGGTTGTGTGTTTCTGGTCAGTATACACCGACACGCGGGCTTGACGTCACGGAGTTGTGGCGGCGCTGCGATCGCGACGGAGCCGGGGGGTGTGGGCAAAAGCGCGCACGTTTCGCATGGGCGTCATAACATTTCAGCATGCCGCGAAGCTGTGTTGCCGTTAATTGCACCGAAATGTACAAGAAAAGCAGCGGAGTGAGTTTCCACAAGTTCCCGGCAGACTCTGAAAGGCATAGAAGGTGGATAATATCCGTAAATCGAAAATAATGGTCGCCTCGCGCTAACGACCGTTTGTGCGACAAACACTTTCTTGGAGGCAAGTGCGGCTTCCATTTCAATTTCCGTCCCGAGGCTTGCTTATGTGCAGGGAAACCGTTGTCTGATCGAGACCACCCGGATTTTGTTCCCACGGTGTTCGCGCACAACGCCTCGGCCAAGCGCTCGTCGGAGGCTCGCTACGCCCGTGCTACCGAGCAGAAGGGGATCGGCGACAGAACGGCAGTGTTGTAGGCGTAACCAAAAAAAAAAAAAGTAACGAAATACGTTACTCGTTACTTGCAAATGAAATGTACGCGTTATTGAGCTACGCTATCTAAAAATAAAAGGAATGCGTTACCGCTACCGATAAAAAGTAAGGCACGTTACTTCTGCGTTACTTTTTTAAATTATGATTTAACACATTTTACGGTTTTGACGATACAGGTCATATATCAGAAAACATTATGTTCATGCAGAAACTGAAAATAATTATTTTATCTCTTTTTACGGTTTCACCTAAATACTTACGAGAAAAAACGCAAAGAAAAACATGCTTGAGGCCTTAAACACGGAAACAATTGAAGTGTAATTTCTTTAAGACTTGGGAAGTAGTAACGACTAACCAAACTATGTTACTTTAAATAGTAACATAGGTACGTTATCCGTTACTGTGTCAAAAACGTAACGAGTAGGTTACTACGTTACTAAAAAAAGTAACGCGTTCCTGGTAACGCCGTTACTTGTAACCTGTTACCGCCAAGACTGCAGAACGGACAAACCTTTACTGGTTGTAACGCCTTGTGGTCATGAGGGTATGAAAAATATCATACCTAGACTTGAAGACGCTAAGTGTATTTAATCAATTAATGAATACAGACACTTCTGCAGACCCATAGTCTGCTGATCCCGCCGGCAGTGCGGAAACCGACTCGATGTAATCGTAGACCTCGAGAGACTTGTACGCCTGCACCGTGTCGGCCATGAACTGGCTTGGCGAAAAAACCAAATAAACGACGACCTGAGTCGTCGACTTCCGTGGCAGCAACTTTACGTCGGAAGTCCAGCAGGCCTTGTTTACTGCGTACGGATCCTCGTAGGCAACGCCGTCCACGCACAGTTTGTTTCAATACCGCTACCGTTCAGGCTCGGGCAACCAGCTCAAATAGTCGGGCATAGCATACGACACACGTTATGAGGAAATACGACGCACAAATAAAGATACAAGCGTCCCTACAACGTCAACGAGCGCACGCCATTGAGCGCAATGGCAAAAACACGGAGAGCTGGGCTGCTTTTGCCCAGATAGCTACCGCGCATGTGCGGCCTTCCGGTCGTGTTGGTAAACAGAGCCGCTCCGCGTGTCGGTCTATAGGATTTAACTGTTTTTTGCTGGAATACAAATTTTTAAGTTATAAGGATAAACAAGGCTATAAAACTAACGGTTCTCTGGATATACCGTATTTACTCGCACAATGAACGCACCCCCCAAGTCGGCTTTCAAAATTTCGACTTTTTTTTCACTCGCGTAATAAACGCACCCCCAACTCGGACGTCAAAATTTTGACCCCCTCCCCCCACGCGCGCGAAATGAACGCACTTTTCTATCCTGGTGCAGCGAGGTCCCGAATGCATGGGCAGCGTGGGCGAACAAAACGCTTTGCAAAAGGCGTTAAAAAAATTCGCAAAGATCCAACGGAAGCAAGAAAAAAAAAAAAAAAAAAACATGGAGAGGAGCTTTTTTTTTTTTTTTTGCACAGCGCAGCAGTCTGGACTTTGGGTTCGCGCGCCGCCGCGCGCAAGGAGGTAAGAAAGAGAAGCGCTCTAAGCGAACAAAACAGCTTGCGAAAGGCGGCAAAAAAAAAAAAAACAACAAAAAACCACGGAACTAAAAGAAAACAAAAACAAAAAGGAGCCCTTTTTTTTTTCTTTTTTTTTTTTTGCACAGCGCAGTTTGGTTACGGGGTCGCGCGCCGCGCGTAAGGAGGTAAGAAAGAGGAGCGGAGAAGCCCTCTAAGCAAACAAAACTTGCGAAAGGCGGCAAAAAAAAAAAAAAAACAAAAAAAAAAACACGGAACTGAGAAAAAAACAAAAGAAAAAGCTTTTTTTTTTCTTTTTTTTTTTTGCACAGTGCAGTTTGGTTACGGGGGTCGTGCGTCGGGTGCCGCGCGCAAGGAGATAAGAAAGATAAGCGGAGAGCCCTCGCCTAAGCAACGCCTAAGCAAACAAAACAGCTTGCGAAAGGCGGCAAAGAAAAAAGGAAAACCAAGGAACTAAGAGAAAAATTAAACATAGAGGAGTTTTTTTTTTTTTTTGCACAGTTTAGTTTGGTTACGGGGTCCGCCCCGCGCAAAGAGATAAGAAGTTACTTCGATTTTCCAGGATAAAAGGTCGGCTCATTATGCGAGTAAATAGGACGCAAAAATTTTACTTCGCGTAATGAACGCCCCCCCCCCCCCCCCCCCCCCCCCCCAAACTTTGCATCGATTTTTTGGAAAAAAAAGTGTGTTCATTCTGCGAGTAAATACGGTATAGATCATAATGAGGAGTCTGTCGTTCAGACACCTGCCCGTCTGCCCAAAAGAACTTTCCACGAGACGGGGGATTCGGTACACAACACACGAAATGCACGACACAAAAAGTTTTGAGTGTTTTTTGGTGCGCCTGGCCTTTGCACGCTTTTCAACTCTTGCACCCCAACGTTCACCCTGCTGCATTTTGTCGAAGCACGGAGAATTACAACCAGCATGGGGCCAAAAGTTGATTTAGCTTTTTAGCTCTGTTGCCACATTGTTATGGTGGGATTGTACAAGTGTTTAAAACATTGGGACATTGATTAGGACGACTAAGCATTCAATTTCACCGTCGCATCAATTGCTGGTTCGGTAAACATATTTAGATATTCCTTTTCATTTGGCGATGTGTATGTGCGGGTTGCATATCTAGAAAGCAATATGATGCATGACCCTTAGAGATGTTCTGTGCTCTGATTGTTATATTGGAAGCATCTGACACCTGGCTAGTCTAGTTTAGCGGCCAAGAAAAAAAAAAGGAACTGATGGTATACAATGAGTGCCTTGCCCGAGATGTAGCGTGCTGGCTTTTGGTAGTGCCAAATGGAACGTGCATTTTTGGCTTTGTGCGGCTGTATGGTGTGCAGGTTAGGTAGCTTCATCGAGTGCTTTTTCCATATTGTGATAATGTATTACACGAAAGCCACTTACTCAGACCAGGCATCTCTTGAGAGAGGGTTCCCGCACTCTGTGCTATTTCTGCAAAGCATGTGCTTAACACTGTGTGCTGCGAGAAGGCTTCATTCATCAGACCTGTCCCTCAAGTAGTATGGAGACGACGACTTGCGAAGTCCTCTCTCGCGACGTTTTCAGAGAAAAACTCGTACTAAGTTGTATACTTCTGAAAAAAGTTGGGTCTTTGCATCGAAGAAGAAAAAACTTAAAAGGCTTCTGAATTGTGATTTGTTCAATAACGCTGTACTCTTCTTTATTTTTTAGCTTTCGCTATCCACTTTTCCAGAGCAAAATACTATTTGCAAAATCAGCCGTATTACCTCAGAAAGAACGCAAAAATGTAATGTTGTAGCTACTAACCCGGGTTCCTACTCGTTCACACAGTACCGTGCAATGAGCCACTACATGCATCAATAGGCATTGCATGTTGTGAACTGCACACCTAGTTGTAGTAAAATGATTTTCTCTCCACTTACAGCTTGTTATAACCAGGCTTGCTGTGTGTGACGGTGGCAACGTTGCGGCGGAATACGAGGAGCCAAGGGAGAATGTGCATGGAGAGACAGTGACGTGGTGTGCGGGTCTAACGCTGCCCCCTTTCTCTCTTGGGGGAGACACAGAAGTAGGTATTGACTGTTAGTTCTCCAACTGCAATAGCTTTTGGTGCTAACCAGAGTGGCGAGCGAAAGAAAAAAATCATTGCACAAGCACGATTGTGCTTTTAAGGACCCAAACGTTTTCATGTATCTTGCTCTGCATCTTGCCAAGCTCCAATGTTGTTACCAATGCTGCACCACTCCAGTGCAGTGGGGTGTCTTCCCGTCTCTCAACTTTCTTGTGTTGTGATTCTCCTTTCCCGTGCGTAATGTTGTTAAATGCACACTAAAAATTCCTCTTCCATGTTTTTTTCTTTTTAAACAAGATCCGTTGTAGCAGCTCAGCAATAAGTTTCAAACAGTGTACAGCTCTGTTTTCTTGCTATTCTCTTCAATTTTTATCAAGGCAAGGAAATTACCTTTAACATTTCTCTTGCCGGAAACAAATGTCACGAGAAATAGCTGAGACTTATCAAAGCAGAGGTCTCAGCAAGCAGTGGGTGCTTTTCTTTATCTACACATAAAAAGTAAAAAAAAACTGACTGCATCATGTAGGAAACAGGAACACTTTTTTTTTTAATTGTCACCTACTAAAGCAGTGCGTGACAGCAGATTATGAAATGGTTGTGCTTTCTATACTTTTTTTAATTGAGGTTATAATTTTATTTTATATTTCTTCCAGAAAAGCGAGGCAGAGCTGGACTTTATTTCACCCCATAATATTTTGTTGTGTCGTTACCATCCAAGTAAATTTATCCTCTATAGATGCACTACCAAAGTAGACTGTCTTTGGTTGCACTGATGACACAAATCATCAGCTGGATTGGCCACACATGCTTTCATATTTGTGTCAATGCCTTCCCCCTGTAAGGGGTATGTAACGTTTCTCCTACTTGTACTCCACCTTACAAAGATGGACTTCCTTTGAAATGTTTCTAGCAGAACCAGTCGATGTGCAAGGAGAGAGAGAGATCCGACCATGGCAAGAGCAGCAGCAGCCTGTCTTCTTCCCAAGACCACTTGGACAACATGAGAGGACTAAACCCAAGTACCACTTGTGCCCTTATTCCAGCATCATCAAAGTGTTGTTGCCAAACAGAAAAGGACGCACACCAAAAAGTGGACCTTCAAGAGTGACGCCTGCCAGAAAGTGTTCACCACGAGGTCTGACTCGTTTGTCCATGCAAGAGCTCACAGTGATGCAAGGCTTTTTAACTGTCTCATCTGTTCTAAAAGAGTCGAATGGGGTCCTCCTTGGTTTTCCATGAAAGGATGCGTGAAAGTGATCAGCTTCATAAATGCAACACTTGTGGCAAGAAATTCACTGGGAACCTCAGGTGCACTGCTCACCAAGTGGGACCCAAAGTTGTGAAGTGCTTCACGTGCCTCACATGCTCAAAGGCATTTCAGTGGAATTGTAACTTGAATATTCACAAAAGGATGCATACCGTAATATCCCGAGTCATCGCCCATCCCCCTGCCACCTGAGATTCATAAAAAAAAGTATGGTGGGCTATGTCTAGGTGGGTAAGCACAAAAAGTTGAAAAAAAAAAAAAAAAAAAAAAGCTAGACAAAACGCCAATTTTTTTGTACATATCTAACGCGGCTGCACAAGAGATGCATTAAACTCAAAACTCGTATTAGTTTCATCCTTTTATGTAAGAAATGTTCACGAAAAAATGTTGGACTATAGCAGGGGTGGCCAAGCTGCGGCTCGCGAGCCGTATGCGGCTCTTTGGGTGTTAAAGTGCGGCTCGCGGCTCCCTCCTCTATCCCCCCCCCCCACCCACACACACACACACACACACACATACACTTTCCCACCTCCCTCGCGGTCACACGAGCTTTTCCCCCGAAAAAGAAATGGAACGTGTTTTAAATCCAAAGAAAGGTTCCGGTTTGCTAGTGTTGTGCTATACTGCTACCTTACATACAACTGACTGCCCCCACGCGGCTCTTGGAAGTTTTGTGGTTTTGTTTGCGGCTCTTAGGCCAAGTCAGCCTGGCCTCCCCTGGACTATAGCAAGATTTGTTGCTTCCATATGACCATTGAACACCGCTGATCTGCACACAGCATGAATGGTTGTTCTGTGAAAGCATGTTTCTTACCATGCTATGTTCTCTTCGTTAGAAAAAAAAAACATTAAAGACGTTCACAATCCCCCTGTAACGCCGAATTAGAGCGCAGCTCTTGAGAAGGAGGAGGGGAACGTACAACGAGGAAGGTATGCCCCTCCTCCTCATCCGTACCCTCCCCTCCTCCTGTCCTGCTCGCCTCCCATTTAGGGGAAGATTTCCCGCTAAATTTAGCGGGGAATTTGTCACGAACATCCTGCAACCGTAAGGTCCACGGCCGCTTCATTCGAGTAGGATGAATGTTCGCGGATTGTGAAGTTCGCGTTGAGGTATTTGTAGAGGTTGCCAATCACTCGGTGTTATTTTGGAAATCAATATTCGCCCAAAAAGTGGGGTGGGCAATGTCTTGGGATATTACGGTAGGTGCAAAGTGCTTACAATTGCTCCACTTGTTTAAGAGTGTTCCATATAATAATAATAATAATATTTTATTTCCATCACACTCGATGGCGGCGACCAAGGGATAAGCAGTCAAAAAAGTGTTCACGAGAATGAAATAAACAAGTGTGAAACCCTTAACTTTCGCCCAGAAATGTAATTTCAACAGACTTCATGCTACGTGTTCACCCAGGCTAAAGCCATTTATATGCTCCAGCTACCAAATAGAGTTCCGTTTGATGTCTAGCTTGATTTGCCACGAAGGTATTCATAGAGAGACACTTTCAGTGCACCACCTGTGCAAAATCATTTTTACAGAGGTATAGCTCGATTGTGCCTAAGAAAAGTTACAAAGGCAAAACATCTCTCGAATGGCACACTTTTTCTAAGACTTTCACTGAAAAACGGTTAAAGGCAACCAGGCTGTGACCATAGGTGAAAAGAAATTTAAATGCAGTTCCCGTACGCTCCGATGTTGCCGTACGCTGTCGTCTCCACCTGCGTAAAAGTGTTCCGTATAAAGCTTTCCTCAAAAAGTCGCAAAGTACTTCACCACCCAAACGAAAAGTCGTTTAAATGCTTCGTACATGCTAAAAACTGTTTCGTTTAAAATATTCCTTGAATCAACATGGAATATACCTTACAAAAAAAAAAAAAAGGCCCATCAGAGTCAACATTCTTAAGCAAAACATTCGCTAAGAAATGTCACTTAATTCTTTACCGAACTATTCACACTTCAAAAGCCATTTAAACAGCCTACCTACTAAAAAGTGTCCCGTTAGTCAAGCTTGAATAACCGCAGAAGAGTTCACCAGGACTAAGTGACATGCAGTGACGAAACCTGTGAACGAGAGTATTTGTACTAGAATATTATTTTAATGCATTGGCCCCCACAGAATTACACCTCGGTAACATTTTGTGGCAAGTCTAAACCTGAGAGTTCATAAACCGCCTGACCAAGGTACAATGATCTGCAAAGCCAGCACCAGGGCCACAGAAATCCCTAAGAAACAGCTCTTAAGTGTTCACAATGCTATTCCCCATAAGTAAAAAAAAAGCTATGCAATGAGAAACTGGGGGAGAGGAGGAGACGAAAGCGCTAGGGGGGGGGGGGGGGAGGAAGGGGGAGGGGGGGTGCCACAATGCCGAGCTCTGGTTGGAATGATTATAGGGTAGACGCAAAGAAAGCTGCCTTTGCCTCCTCTCACACTTCAAACACATTCGATCGCCAAATGTCAACATTCCAAGTTTGCATTCAAACGGTCGGTCTTGAGTAGATGCAAGGGTTGTTGCAAGGGTGGTCTAATGACGGAGAATGCTTATGTAAACAGTGCTATGTAGATTGTTTGTTCTCAGCATCGCTAAAAATGACAATGTTCAGAGAAGGGCTTCCAAAGTGGGTCCATCCCCAGTCATCCCTTTAAAGTTGAAGCGGTAACTGATGTGGCTGGCACCATTCATCAGCCATGCTTTGGAAGATTTCATCTTTTTATAATGTGTACAGTACATCGATTGTGATATGTTTGTCGCTCATTTGTGTGTGTTTTAGGGTTACTACTTTTTTTTTTTTTTTTTTTTTTGTGGTCATTGAATGTGTTCAAGACCAGCAGAAGAGGCTCAAAACCCCCTAGAGGTTTTACTTCAGTACGTTGTATATAAGTGTTACACGGGCGATTGAATAAATGAAGTGTGCTTTATATGACTCTTTTCTGCAGATCTTTTCCTTCTAACAAATGTTGTAGTTATCGGTTCTCTCAAGGTTACGCATCGGAGATCGTCGAGATTGTTTGGCATCGATCCCCAGAACTCTAAGGACCCTGGTACTAGTGCCCGTGCTGACTTCTTTACTGGAATCTCCCAATGATTAATACAGAACGCTCGGTGACCCTTGGCAACGATTTCACATAGCCATATCTTCGTCGGGCATGTTCATGTGCTGCCAATATACTCATTCTTTTGGGATCTCTGTGTCGTAATACCTTGGAGTAGCCCCAGAGTGGGGAACTGTGTGTACTAATTCTGTTGTGCGTGGAGTGCGTCTGCAACCGGTGTGTGTACTGCATCCTCAAAGGTTATCCCTCGAATTCTGCCCGATGCCGTCGTAAAGGTATCGTGCTGTTGCCTGTCACGAGCCTGGCGGTAGCGCAAAAGCGGAGGCAAAGGTTGCAGACGCTCGTCTTGCTGTAGGTCGCTCTTCAGCCAGACGGTCCACGGTGACCAAGGCAGACACGAGATGGGACACTGCAATGACATCCACCCTTGCGTCCGCTAGCCTCTTGCCAGCATTTCTAGGACTAATTGCCTGAACAGCGACATCCGACAGCATGACACGCGGGCTCCTATGACACGATGGGCCTTTTCGGAAGCATGTGGCGCCCCCGCCGTCCGCTTGATGCATTGGGATGTTCCGATGTACAGCGCATGAGATTATCCAGGAATCGAAGACAATGTTGACATTGGTTTAACATTTTGTGATTTCGGAAAGCAGTTGAAAGCAGGAAGAAAGCGAAACATAGTGTGTGTTGACCTCCCTTTGTGTTCGCTCTATTTTTGCTTTCTTTCTAATGATAAGACTGTGAATCGGGCCGCTTCCAGGATGTACAAAGCATTCGAATCGGCACAAGCATACATTTGAATAGCCTACAATTCCACTCGCCGCGAAGACCCCTGGGATTTCCCGGAAAGGTCTATCTGTTGTCGCATTGGGACTACTTTGAATGCATGGGTAGGACAAGGTGATAAACGCCAGTCAAAGACACAATCCAGGCACTATGCTATTGCTGTCTTTCGTCTTTTAGACCAGGACCTTTTTACTGGGAAGCAGTTTGTGGAGTTTGCAGTCTGTTTAAGTTTAGCTTCTGGGTTCACTGGTAGGGATGGAACGACACATTTTAAAACTCAATTCAACAAATGAGTGAAAGTTAAAAAGGATTCATGCAAGTCAAGGTCATGGCTTGTTTACACGATGACAGTGGAAAATTGGTTGAGTCTTCTTCAAGTCTACAATCAAAGCAAGAAACGAGCCATTACTTACCTCTTCTTCTAAAGTATCTTGCAAACTGAAACCTCAAACGACATGTGAAGGTTCCTGAAGTATGGCGGTGCGTTACCTTCTTGGAAACAAAACGTGGGAGAGAACACAAGAACTTATCCCGACAATGAGATGGAGTCTTCTTCGGTGGAGTGCTCCAACAAATTTGCCAAAACGTGTGGTGTACCTTTTGGCAACTCTCCAACAGTGCCAAATTGTCCTGGTGTGTTTATACATACCCTGCAATACGCCGATTCACCTGGGATCTTCACCTCGCAAGACCTCTGAGCAGCCCACCCGAAGGCCAGGGAAAAGGAACTTTAGAGGTTGTATTATTTTAATTTGGACAAATTAAAGAAAAATGAAGCTGTGAAAGGTACACTAACATGGTCTGTGCTTGTAAATTAGTCATTTCTCGGCGACCAATCGTTCGCCATGCAATTTTGCCCGTGTTAATTGGAAAACCCGCAGTCCATACTATGACAAGATACTTTGGGGACGAATTGCGTAAATACAGGCATTTTTGTCTTGTTTGAATACCACTACCCCAGCTAAAAAATAGGTGAAAAAATTTGTCAGATATTGATGGACCCAAAAAGTCAGTGTGCACCTCAGTGTCCGTTGCAGGTCTCGCATAAGAGCTGCGTACCATAAAACGTTTTCGTTTTGTTGTAAAATATGTTGTTACCGCTTTCAGTTTATTGTTGCTTGAGAATGTGTATGACCTATAACTGGGAACAAAGAAGAATGAACCCTGAAGCCAGGGGCGGATCCAGACCTCCACTTTTAGGGGGGGGCGGTTCCTCGGTGTAAAACGGCGGGGGGGGGGGGGGGGGGGGAGGGGAGGGGGGGAGAGTTTATATTTTTTGTGGAGTTATCGTTTTTACTAAACTCTGATAACATAATATAGATCTTGAGAGCTTTTGTATCGGTTTACCTGTCGGGGATGAACTCTTTGAATTAAAACCTTTCAGGTGACCATGCTAGAGGTAAGTATCTCAAGAATTGTGGTGACACTATCCTTTCTGAAACTTGGGTTTCAGACCGACACTACGTGAGCAGTCGATTTAGGGCAGCTTAAAGACATTGCCTTGGCAGACATTCTGGTTGGAGCTAGTGCTGAACTGCTGCGGCAACGGGAAGAGCGGCTTAAATCAGCGGAGCGAGTACGTTTCAAACAAGTGCAGTGATGTGATTGCTGCGCCAATTGCGCCAAACTGAGCCAAGGGGCTAACCCTGCTACATTTTGCGAAAATATGGGTAATTTGCGCCAAGCCTGCGCCAAAGGACAAATTTCGACCACCTTTCAGAAACGAAACTGAACTGAGAACCGTAATTGAGCATGCTCGAGCTAGGTGTCGCAAGTGGCCGCCCGACACAAAGTACCCTGCATCAATCGTCCATCCGGCCTTGCATGGTTTTTTTCCGCCGTCTCGCGTTTCGCGCTCTCGTCGTCTGGGGAATTTCGTCTCAGGTCCTTTTTAAATATTTTCAATGATAGACGCGGGCGTCCATCATTGAATTTGGGGGATGCCTGAGCAGTAAAAACACAAGCAGCGAGTTCCGTCACAACACAACACAAAGTGCCCTTCGTTTGTCCAGCACTGAAAGCGAATATTTTTTTTTTTATATATTTTTCTAAGAATATCTGCTCC